CCCCTACGTACTTTGTCAAGTGATCAGATTTTTAAATCATGAATACAGTGTCTCTTTTATTATCTTCACATCTGTCACGTTCCTACTACAGGTATTTGATTGGGAAAGGGGGTTAGTGAGATGTCATCTTTCCTTAGCTTCTGAAAATCCAGGAAGTAATAAGGGAAAGTTGTAGCCAGGTGTTTTTCTTAAAGTCAGAAGCAGAGGCTGTAACTTAATGTTCTGGTCCTGATCATTATATATTTTCACATGGACTATTTGTTTTCATTTCTAATTTTCTTAATGAGAAAAAGACTTCTTAGGTACTCTAACCATTTAGGATCAAAAGTGATCTGTCACACTGTAACAGCAAAAACCTCATACAGGTTTTACCACCTGATAAATATATATGCTTTCTAGAAGACTCTTTCACAAAGACAACTATTTCTTATTTTTTATGCTGAAATGGTAACAGCCTATATGTTCCCCAGTAGGGGATTTGTTGAATAATTATGGTTACTTGCAGAATGGAATATTATATAATTTTTAAAATGGTAAAGCTTGAATTATTTCTGTTGATATGCAGAGATATCTAGGACCTGTTCAATGCGCAATAGCAAACGTATTTACATGTTTCCATGTATGTAGAAATACTCATTATGGTATCTGCCTAAGTCCTAAAAGATGTATACCAAACTGATAATAGTGATTATTTCTGCACAGTATATTTGCTGTAGGAAATAATTTTGTCTACATTTCTTTTTTGTAATAAAGGTTATATATTATCTGGAAAGATAGTACCATTTTAAGGGAAGAACAAAACAAGTGACAAAAGTATTAGGAGAGTGTTATTTTGTCTAGGGTGTGTTGCTATTCTTATAAATTTGAGATGAAGACTTGAAGTAGAATCTGTGTTTTAGGGACATTAAGAATGGAGTTTTTTTTTTTTTTTCAAAATGTGCATCTTCTTTCTGATAAGAACATCTCACCATCATTATAAAAATTTGATTAACAGTGAAATGTATATAGAAAAATCCCCTAAGCTATACTCACAGTGATACCTGCTTTCAATACTCCCCTACTTACCTTATCAGTTGTTTAATAATATATTTTAATTTGTGATTCTCTCCTTATTTTTTTAAGATTTTATTTATTTATTCATGAGAGACACAGAGAGAGGCAGAGACATAGGCAGAGGGAGAAGCAGGCTCCATGCAGGCAGCCTGATCTGTGGGACACAATCCTGGGACTCCAGGATCACACCCTGGGCAGAAGGCAGACACCCAACCGCTGAGCCACCTAGGTGTTCCACCTCACTGTCTTTTTATTTTTTATTTATTTTTTAAAGATCTTATTTATTCATGAGAGATACTGAGAGAGAGAGAGAGAATGAGAGAGAGGCAGAGACACAGGCAGAGGGAGAAGCAGGCTCCAGGCAGGGAGCCCGACATGGGACTCGATCCCAGGTCTTCAGGATCACACCCTGAGTGGAAGGCAGACACTAAACCGCTGAGCCACCCAGGGATCTCTCTTACTGTCTTTTTAAAATGCTGTACGTTTTGGTGCTCAAAGTATTTCTGATTTGCGATTTATTTTCACAACCCTGTGTGATAGGTTAAGGAAAGGTTAAGAAAATCTTTACACCAAGACTCTGCTAGTTGATAACTTTAATCTCTTCCAGGACCTTTTTTTTTTTTTTTAAAGATTTAATTAATTTATTCATGAGAGATACAGAGAGGCAGAGACACAGGCAGAGGAAGAAGCAGGCTCCGCGCAGGGAGCCTGATGCAGGACTCAATCCCAGGGCTCCGGGATCACAAAGGCAGATGCTCAACAGCTGAGCCACCCAGTATCGCTGTTTCAGAGCCTTTAAAGCTTTTGGGTACAGTTATGATTTAAGGCCTGTGTAATGGGAGACAAACATACAGATTACCTGAACAGTTTCTAAGGTATACTTAAGGGCAAATTTAGTGAGAATTACAGAAACCTTGGATAACATTTATGAATTTACCCGTCCCAGTTTTGATCACAGTACCCAATAGGCAGAACAGGTACTTCATAGATATATGTCAAATAGAGAAAAGGAGGAAAGAAGGGGAAAAAAAGAAAAATGAAAGACTGAAAATGTAACTAGAAAAGGCAGCTGGTAAATGAACTGAGTGCCTTACTTGAAGCTAATATTATATTGTATGGGATCCCTGGGTAGCTCAGTGGTTTGGCACCTGCCTTCCGCCCAGAGTGTGGTCTTGTAGTCCTGGGATCGAGTCCCATATTGGGCTCCCTGCATGGAGCCTGCTTCTCCCTCTGCCTGTGTCTCTGCCTCTCTCTGTGTCTCTCATGAATAAATAAATAAAATCTTTTAAAAAAATATTATTATACTGTATGTTAACTACATTGGAATTTTTAAAAAAAGCAAAATAAAATATTAGTTGGGTGCTTTGAACAGTTAAAAAGGATGGAAATCCAGATAGTTCCTAGGAAAACAAACATACTACTCTTAGTTTGACAGACTAGAATTTGTGGATATTTTTAAAAGACTTGGAAGACAGAAGATGGGACCAAAATAAATTATAATATGTGCTACATTTTTAGTGCCATTTCCTGAGACCCACTTAATTTTATGTATAATTTGATTTCCTAATAAAATAATCATGATGATGGGAAGGCCTGGAAAATATAAAAATGTTTTTCTTGTTTCCCTTTATAAGTAGGAAAAAAATCTCCCTCACATTTTCTAGACTTCCCTATCTAGATTCTATTAAATACTTCCTAATATTTTTATTTTACTCTGGCTAGAGTTTTGTTCTACATTAAACTTAAAATGTGTTTCTGCTTACATAAATAGGAAATATACCATCTTCATTTGTCATTGTTAGCACTATTAAAATTTTCCCTGGAGTTTTAGAAATAAACCATAGCCACCAGTAACTTTTTTTCTATCAATTATAAAAAAAATTATGAAGCTAATATAACAGCACAAGGTTTGGGGAATTTATACAGAATAACCTTTGATCTCAGGCTAGCATTATTTATATGTTCTGCTTGGCTTTCTTGGTTAGCCATTGTTGATAGTCCCCCCCCCCCTTTTTTTTTAAATCATCCAGCTGGAATACTTGCGTTTAAAAAAAAAAAAGAGTATTGAAAATTAGCCTATTTGGGAAATAGTACATAAAAGTGAGTTTGAAATTGTTTAATGTTTGGAGTGTTTTCCTTTACCACCCACTGACTCTTAATTTCTTTCTAAAATAAAACGACAATAGTTCCACAATGGGACTCTGGTGACTTATAATTTACCTCATTAACTCTGTTTCATCTTTATTAAATTTAAGTCTTTTTTTCTATTTGTAGAGTTGAAATACCCACCCCTCCTCCTGACTGCTTATGTAATGACTGGGAGCTCCTCTGCTATTTTTGCGGAGAGATGCTGACTATAGGGTAGAGGATGGGATGGGCGTCCAGGACCACACAAGTAAAATCAACCTGTTTAGTGGAATGTTTGAGAATTAGGTTGATGAAAGAAAGAACCAGGTGCAGCTAGCAGAAGGACACAGTGAGTGGATGAGTGAAACACAAGGGGAGGCAAGACAACAAGACAAATGAGGAAGGCCTACGTGAGGTGCTGCAAAACTAGTGTGGACTCGGCTACTGGGTAGCTCAGTGGTGAGCATCTGCTTTTGGCTCAGGGCGTGATCCCAGGGTCATGGGATGAGTCCCGCATTGGGCTCCTCTCGGGGAGCCTGCTCTGTCTCTGCCTCTCTCTCTGTGTGTCTCTCATGAATAAATAAATTAAATCCTTAAAAAAAATTATAAAATAGTGTGGACTCTGAACTTGGTCCTTAAACAAAAAGCTCCTTTTTCCAGAATGCCTGTGGTTCATGACTGTATGTAAAGTACCTAGTATGGGCACTCAAGAGATTTTTGTCAGTGTTGATGGCACCTTAACTTTGCAAGCTAGGCAAGATAGTCCCATTTGACAAATGAAGAAATTGAGCTTTAAGGGAATTAAATAACCTGCCTAAAATAGCACAGCTAGTAATTGGTGGGATAAAATTGAAGCACCCTGTATCTCTATGGCCTGGGCTGACTTCAGAATTTACTAGATCAAGTTCTGTTTTTAATTAGAGTGTACTCACAATTTTTAGTACTTCCTTGGGGTTGTTAAATCCTGAAATTCAGGGCCTCTCTTTTTGTTTGTTTTTATTTTTTTAAAAGATTTTATTTATTTATTCATGAGAGACACACACAGAGAGGCAGAGACACAGGCAGAGGGAGAAGCAGGTTCCATGCAGGAACCCGATGTGAGACTCGATCCCAGGACTCCAGGATCACGCCCTGGGCCAAAGGCAGGCACTAAACTGCTGAGCCACCCAGGCATCCTGCGTTTGTTTGCTTTTAAATATTTTTTTTTTTTTATTTGAGAGAGACCATGGAGAGAGGGGCAGAGGGAGCAGGAGAAGCAGACTCCCTGCTGAGTGGGGAACCAGATGTGGGGCTCAGTCTCAGGACTCCGAGATCATGACCTGAGCCGAAAGAAGGCAGATGCTCAACTGACTGAGCCACCAAGGCACTTCTGTTTTGTCTTTTTTTAATAATAAAAAAAAAAATTGTAAGTAAACTCTAAGCCATATTTGGGACTTGAACTCACGACGCTGAGACCAAGAGTCACATGCTTTACTGACTGAGCCAGCCGGGCACTGCCCCTGGGTCTGTTTTGAATGGAATTGTTATGGCTGCTTGCAGTGGGGAATGTTTCTGGCATCTTGGACATCTTGAGCACTTTAAGTATTGTTTGCATCTTTTGAAATGCTTTTCTTACATTTTTAGTGCTCTATTCCACTATTTACTGGCTGCTTCCCCTCCTTAAGCTTAATTGTCCTCATCAGTAAAGTAAGGGCAGTAATAATACATATCTCCCCAGGTTTTTCTGAGGATTAAATTAGCACACGTACGCTGTGTCTGTGATTTCTACAAATTGATATTACAAGCACAAATGTTACAGTGAAATGTTTCTCCCATTACAGGTGTTCTTGAATTTTCCATAGGGAAGTTTAGATACTTCGAGCTCAACAGGCCAGAGGACGCCATTTTGCGTCATATTTCAAGCAATGTCTCTTTTGTTATTTTCCAAATACACTCACAATATCAGAATACAACAGTTTCTTTCTCTCACGTAAGTATGAAAAATTATTTCTGTAAACACCAGTTCCATGTTTTGGGATCTTGTATTTAGTAGAAACATTTTCAATTTGATGCGTCTTTATGTTTGACATTATGTCCTTAAAAGAAAAAAAGTCAAGATTGGATCCTGTCAAGGTAGTGGTTTAGACTGGCTAAGAGGTAAATGTCTAAGACCTTTCTTGAGTGTGGTGACCTCTTACTTAAAGAAGGGGTGAGAGAGTGCTGAATCTGGAGGGAAAGTAGCCTCTACCAAATTCTCCTGGCTGCAGTTAAGTTTTAAGCTTATGATTTTTATCTTGTTTTCTTACTCTGCTGGGTCCTTAATGATTTTTACCTCTGAATATTATTTATTGGGTTTCCATCATTGTTCAGCCATATAGTATTTACTAAGTTTACTAAGACCCTTGCAGGATCACCTTTATTTGTGAAGTCTCATGGAAACAAAAGAAGCCCAAAATTCAGGTCGTTTAGCCCTGTGCTCAGCCTCCTGTGTTTAAGACTCTATTTTATTTTATTTTTTTAAGATTTTATTTATTTATTCAAGAGAGACAGAGAGAGAGAGAGAGGCAGAGACACAGGCAGAGGAAGAAGCAGGCTCCACACAGGGAGCCTGACGTGACTTGATCCTGGGTCTCCAGGATCACGCCCTGGGCTGAAGGCAACTCTAAACCGCTGAGCCACCTGGGCTGCCCAAGATTCTTATTTTAGAGATCATCACTAACCCCTTCAACCTCAACCTCACCTTTGGGAAGTTTTTCAGATGCCCTGGATTAGCTTAACCCATTAAGAATCTGCCATTTATAGTAACCTTTTATAAATCTATTTATATTCGGCCTATATGACCCCTTAGACTAATAAATGAATTTCACTCTGTATGAAGTCATGCTGCTCTTTATTTGTCCTCGGCCTATTTTGTTATAAGCCTGTCTTTTAATACTCTGGAATTTGCTAAACAAAGCAATTCATATTGCTTAGTCTTAGTCCAATTCATATATATTCTTTTTTTTTTTTAAGATTTTATTTATTTATTCATGAGAGACACAGAGAGAGAGAGAAAGGCAGAGACACAGGCAGAGGGAGAGACAGGCTCCACATAGGGAGCCCAATGCAGGATTCAATCCCGGGGCTCCAGAATCACGCCCTAGGCTGAAGGCAGGTGCTAAACCACTGAGCCATCCAGGGATCCCCCAATTCATATATATTCTATAGGCATTGGTCATATTATCTTTCAAACTAAATGTTTTGCATGTTTTTATTCTTGCCTTCCTGCGCCTACCATGAATTTTGAAATTGTGTGTTTGGTAATTTAATAGACTAGAAATGGAAGAGTTTGATCAAGGAAGAGGAAGGAATGCATTTTGTTAATTTCAAGAGTTAACAGTGTTTATGACCCCCACTCAGATTTTGTCTGAGTTCTTTGCAGCCTGAGCAGAAATCAAAGCATGTTAAATATCTTTTTTAGAAGGAAAAACCATGCTAGTTTCTCAGGGAAGCCAACCTTTTTTTCTAGCACTAAATCTAGAAAGAAACTTGCTATTCATGCCCTTACATAGAAGACCTAATAAAATGCTATACAGATGATTACCTTCAGAACATCACAGGGAAGACAGCATTTGAAGGAAGAGAAAGGATTGGAAAAAAGGCATTTATATTTTTTGCATGCCTACTAGGGGCTGCAAGGTTAGTGGTTCTTAAGCTCTCCTGGGGCCATAGACTTTGAATCTGCTAAAATTGGAAACTCTACACCCATCACACTGTATGGATACATTTGTATAATTTCATGGAGACCTCTGGAAACTCATTGAGCGTGTGGAGCTTCTAGTTAGCATTTAGTTTTCCATATAATTAATTTAATTCTTAACAACAGTTCAACAAAGTACTTAAAATGCATGTTTTTACATTGGAGGAAACAGAGCTTGGTATGTTGACAAAACTACTGTGACTGAAGTGGCCTGAGTGAACAGCATGTTGGGCCTCACTTTTCATGCAAGGCGGATCTTAGTTATCCCGAATTATAATAATGTTCCTTTCTTGGGCTGCCCTTACTTCTCACTGTATTTATACTACTGAGAAGAAGATGACCAGAATTGCACATAGATCTAGAAATGAGTGGTCTATGTGAAGAGAGCAGTTCCTGTTTCTTCTACCCTTCTGGAAGAAGCATGGCACTTTGGTTTTTTGGGTCATCATAGCACTTGGTTCTTTGAAACTGTTGACACTGCACTGGGTCATTTAGTATTTGAATCATTTTCCCTTACGCTTGTCAAATTGAAGCCCATCTGGTGTTTTTTTCTTCCCGTTTCCTTAGCTTTAAGAAAACACTCTGAATCTACTATCTCTTAACTTAGTATTTTGTAATTCAAAAAGTTTTCCAAATGGATGGCATTAGGGGATGAAGGAGTGGAGGGGTGTGAGGGAGGATTAGAGAGGAGTGAGAAGAGACTAAGTTTGCTTACTATCCTGATTGTGATGATGGCTTCATAAGTGTCTGCGTATATCAAAACTTATCAAATGATATTCTGTATGTGTAATTTATATGTTGATTATAGCTCATTAAAAACAAAAACAAAAACAAAAAACCTTTCCAGAAGCTGAATTCTTTAGGGACAGGGATCATGTTTTTGCTTTCATTGTGATAAAGTTCTTTTTTTTTTTTACAAGTTTATTTTTTATAAGTTTATTTATATTTTAAAGATTTTATTTTTTGAGAAATGAGTGGTGGGGAGGGGCAGAGGGAGAGAGAGGGAGAAGCAGGAAGTCTGCTTCCTGCTCAGCAGGAAGCCTGATGCTGGGCTTGATCCCAGGACCTGGAGATTATGACCTGTGGGGAAGACGGATGGTTAAGCAACTGAGCCACCCAGGCGACCCCGTAGTGCTAAAGTTAATTTATATATTGGACTTACAAGATGGAGGCTGCCTCAGTGGCCTGGCCCAGTTCTTGGATCTATTTACACGTGAGTCAGCTTGCACTTATGGGTAACGCCTGTCAAGGAGATCTAACATGACAGTCACCTTCCTCCATCCTCCAACTCTGCTCTAGCTTGCTTAGCTCTAAGAGAATAGGACTGTCTTCCTTATAAGGAAATTCCTGACCTCCTAGCCAATCATCCCCTGTTTCTGTTTTGCTTCTTCTACACTATGAAACTTACTTTTTGCCTCAAATCCCTCAGGTACTTCTTCACTGCTTATAAGGTACTGTACTCCCCTAATCTTGTGTTGTTTTCCTTGAATAAAGGACACCAGATTCTTTACTGAATTGTTTTGTTATTTGACAGTCTTAGTTCTTGACATAGTAAATCTTAATTTGGGGAATTGAAAAACTTTGAAATTTCACTGTGCATCTGCTATTCCTATCAAGGGTCATATATTTAACTAGTTCTTCCATGTGTATGCATGGGTCCCTGCAGGTAGAGATGAAAAGAATTCTTTATAAGGAAGGTCTTTTTTTCTTCCTTCTTGTTTTGAGAAGGTTTGGAATAGGACATGCATAGTAGATCCAGCTTGGAATTTTTTTTTAAAGATTTTATTTATTCATGAGAGACACACACAGAGAGAGAGAGAGAGGCAGAGACATAGGCAGAGGGAGAAGTAGGCTTCACGCAGGGAGCCCGATGTGGGACTCGATCCCGGGTCTCCAGGATCACGCCCTGGGCTGAAGGCAGCACTAAATGGTTGAGATATTTTGCTCAACTCCCTATTCATGATGACTCTTTTCTATCTTATTGCAGACTCTCCTTCCCAATACTTCAGGAACAGGCACTGACAAAGGACTGGTTTTCATTCTTAGACCAGAGGAAAGTATGTGCACTTGGTACTTGGAGACTTTAGATTCTAAGCCTGTCCAAAATGTGGCCATTCCACTCTCCTACTCTGAAAGAGGTAACCTTTCTGTCTTCAACTCCCTATTGACTCTCCAGAATGTGGAACTTATTCATGAAAATTCAGGGGAAAGTATAATCCTTTTAAAAGTGTTTATTGCAAGTATGATATACTGAATCAAAGATTTTAGCAGTGAGGGAGCCAAAGAATTGTGTGATGATTAAAAGTCCAGGTAGGGGTATAGGATAATGTAGTCCTTAATTCAAGAAAAATTTAAGGAGCCTTTGGAGAAGCAGTAACAGAAAGGCAAGAAACAGTACTTAACACTTTTAGCTGGTTATTCTAGGCAAAGGAAGGCATGGAAGAAGAATGGAGAGTATTTGGAGAATGGCAGAATGGTGGGTGTGGCTGAAGCCAGAGCATGAAGGGCCTTGTATATAATTTGAGGTTTGCATTCTACTCTGAAGGAGCATAAAGAGTTTTTAAGCGGAGGAATGGTATGCATTTCATCTGTCAGAAAGTTAACTCTAGAAGCAGTGTGGGGAGTGATTTGGAGAGGGCATAGCAAGGTTAAGACTCTGTGTACCTTTAAGGGCTCAGAGTGAGAAGGTGTTTGGGAGGTAGCACTGATGAGACACAATGGCCAATGATCATGGATTATACAAGGGAGGAGCGTAGGCTTCCCATTTGGGCTACTAGGAGATAGTGATGCAAAATAGGATTGAGATAGAGTTGTTGTGGTACTGGACAGTTTAGGCAGTTGGGATGGGGTAGATTGTGACTTCAAGACACCATGAATCTGAAATGCTCATAGGAAATCTGGATGGAAATGTGTAGTAGGGAGGGAGTTTAAGGGTGTGGAGTAGAGACCCGAGGTTAGATGTCCACCTGAAAGGTTCTGTGTAAAAACCATAGAAGTAAGTAAGATTGTCCAGGCATGTACTTAGAGATTTAAGGGGAAAAATAATAGCAGATGCTTTCATAGTGCCTACCCCGTTTCAGGCACTGTTTCTGGGCGATGCTAACTGCTGAGGAATAAGCATAACGCTACAGAGACAGGGAGGCAAAAGAAGAGCCCGAGATTCTGCTTTAAGTAAGGAGAGGTAAATAGCACATTGCAGAGGTCAAGGAAGTGATTGAAGGTGTCTGTATGATAGTGCAATGAAAAGTCAGCAGGGGCCTTTAGTGAGAATCATTTTAGTGGCACATGGGGATAAAAACTAGATTACAGTGATTGAGGAGTCAAGGTGAGGTGAGGAAATTTAGACTACTCTTACACAGTGTTCTGTGTTGCAAAGGGGAATGACCTGATAGAAAATCATAGACTGGGTTTTCATCAAGGACAGTGTACAAAGAAGTATTAGGAACAGTAGAGCTTCCATTACAATGCATATCATTTTCCCGGGTGTGGTAAAGATCTGTAAATGCAGGAAAAGGAGCGTATGAAAGAGGAGCAACATTGAAACATATGGACATTGAGTTTCTCGGTTCCAGATCTGGCTGGGGCAAGTCAGCCACCAGAATTCCAACAGTTGATAGAAACCAGGACCCACCTGTGGGAATGATTAGATGGGTGTATGAAGTTGAGACCTTGTAGATTTTTAAATTGGTTTACCTGGACCTATTCTTATTTTAGCCTTTCCACTTGAGTCCACTGTAGACAGTTGTTTGCATAGAATTGAGCTCATGTCAAGTGACTTTTTTGTTTTGTCATGTTTAAGGTCATGAATAGGATTCCTAATAAGAAGAGCTGTTTTAGCCACATTATTAATGTAAATGAAATACCTAAAATATGTATTTAATTAAATGTCCAAATGTTATTCCAATGCATGGTCATGGGGCTCTTTTGAGGTCTTTTTTATTTTTACTCTTTTATGTGTACACAAAGAGTCTTCCAGCTCTGAGGATGACACCATCTTTCTTCTTGTTGAAAGAAACATGTAAAAAGTGAACACCCCTTTCTTTACTACTCATGGAGTTCCTTTACTCCTTGGTAGTGTTTTTTCCCCCTCTATCCCTGTGTTCTTAAGCTCTTTTTATGAGATTATAGACCCCAAAATCTAATAAAAGCCTCTCTCCTTAAGAAATTCACACATTCAGCCTTTGACATACAATTTCAATGTTCATGAGATCCTCAAAGCCAGTTTTTGGTACCAGCTTAAGAATATCTATCTCTAGATCTTTTCAACTCTAGAGCAGGGATTGGCAAACACAGACCATGGGTCAAAGCCTGTTTTGTACTTAAAGTTTTATTAGAAACTGCCATGTTCCTTTGCTTACATATTGTCTATGGTTGCTTTCCTGCCCTGAGGGCAGGGTTGAGTAGTTGCCACAGAGAAACCATCAGGACTATGAAGCCTAAAACATTCACCATCTTTACAGAAAAGTCTTGCTGACCTCTATTGCAAAGCCCTTAACCTCGATTAACTTTTCCCTCTTTAACCTCAGTTCATGAGGTGGTAGTACAAAACCAGAAGCTCTATTATGTTTAACTTCTATATGGAAAGTTCTTATAAAAGTAGAGTTCTGTTTTTCTGAGTACCATTTGAATATATAAAAATTCTGTGTTGAATAACTTCCTTATTTTTCATCCAGATCCTGTCCCTGGAGGCTGTAATTTGGAGTTTGATTTAGATATTGATCCCAACATTTACTTGGAATATAATTTCTTTGACACAACTATTAAATTTGCCCCAGCAAACCTAGGCTATGCAAGGTATGTCTGTGTCCTATCTCCTAATACTGCTTTTAGGACATGCATGACTAACTGTTGTGTAGATTTGGTGAACTCTCAAAATCCATGGTTCTCTTTAGTAAAATGGGATTGTTTAATCTTTTTTGGAATGGAGGGAATTAAAGCATTGCAAAATACTTGAGCTGCCACTTACCAATAATACTGTCCCCCTCCATTCTTAGGAAGAGCGAGATGTTGACTCTCTATTGTGAGCTTAGAAGTACATTTAGTTTCGGTAAAGAGTTTTGAATATGGAAAGCATTTTGAAGCCATGAAGCACTCGTATATTTTTGTCAGGATTTTATTTTTTTAATTAAAACTCTGCCTTAGTTTCTCCTTTAATAGTAATGATAGCTGACATTGAGAAACATTTGAATGCTGTCTGTCATTCATCCATAGTGCTGAATGCTCTGTGTTCTTTAATTCTGGCAATTTTAGGAAGAAGGGGTGGTGCTTCTTATTTTCCAGAGTGGTTCACTAAGGGTTGCTGAGATTATGTGATGTGCCCACAGATGCAGAGCTAACAAACAGCAAAGCTGGCATGTCACTCTGGGCCTGACTGACATTGACATCTGGTTATTAAACCATACTGCCTCTCACTATGCTACTTTTCTTCATAATGCCAAAACTGGAATCAATGGCAGAAGTTTGAAATTTGAGCTTTTAGTTCATTTTATAGTTGGGACATGCACCGCAAGAGACTGATGTTTAGTTTTGTTGGTTGACTTTAGAGGCACAGATCCTCTGCCATGTGACATTGGGACAGGACGGGACTCTAGGTGGAGGTTGCAGTATGATGTCTATCAGTATTTTCTGCCCGAGAATGACCTCACCCAACAGGGGTTGCTAGAGCATCTGCAGAGGATGGCTGAGGTTCCTCAGGTGAAGGCCAATGCTATCAAGGTAAATCTGGTTCTTATAATTTGTGTGGCCAGGTTGTTGACACTTTTATAAGACTTGAGAAGGGGAGAAGCTACCAGGAGCTTATTTCTTTACTGTTTCCTTGGTATTCCTGGGGTTCTCACTTTATTCTCTTTCATTTTGTTATCATCTTGCTAGTAATTCCCAAGGTAATGTTGGGTTCTGCGGAGGTGCATGCAAATTATGTTTACATTTTAGTTGCTGTCACATACGTGACCTGGTAATCTTGAGCTATGGATGGAAGGGGGTGGTGATTTTTCTATGTACTCCTGTAAATATTAGATAAAAATTTTTGGCGAGTATAAAAATTATAGTGTTCTGAGGAAAAAACAATGAGAAACCATTTAAGGGTATACACATTGTCATTAATATTTTATTTATTTAAAATATTCTATTTTTATTTATCTTAGAGCAAGCATGCATGTGCATGTGGAGAGAGGGAGGAGGGGAAAGGGAACCAGCAGACTCTGTGCTGAGTGTAAAATCCCCACCTCGGGCTCGATCTTACTACTCTGAGATCATGACCTGAGCCAAAACCAAGAGTCAGCTGCTTAACCCGCTGAGCCACCCAGGCACCCCTGGCATTAATATTTAAACCCAAACTCAGAAGTCTCTAACTTGAAGCAAAAGTTTTCTCTGACCTTTTGAACCCCTGTAAATTCTTGGAATATCAAGTGTAGGGTATGGACCAGTGGCATTTGCATCACCTGGGAGTTTGTTAGAATTGCAGATTCCTTGGCTCCACCCCAGACTTACTGAATCATAATTTGCATTTTGAGGTCCCCAGGTGATCCCTATGCATATTAAAACTGAGGTTCATGCTATAGATCTTTTTTGTGGAAGACAGGATTTATGTCTTAAAAGATACCTGATTGCAGTCTAAAATAGAAGTTCATCCTTCAGTCTAATGGTTTATGGGTAGAGTTTTTCTTGACTGCTCTGATTCTTCCCAGAAGGTTGATAGGTGACCAGATTATATAGAAGGAAGTGGCTGAAACAGGCATATATGATTAGCCTAGGGCCTCAGTCTGTTGCAGAGCAAGATCTCATATTGTTGCCCTGTCACCTAGGATGTCATGATCACATGCTAAGAAGGAGCCAGGTATAAGAAAATTCATTGTACTTGTTTACAAATTGCTATTATTAGAGGAGACTCCTATACCAAATTACTCTGGAAATCCATCCAGGGAAGGAATTTATATTGTCTTTTTTAAAGGATGTAATTCATCCTTGTTGATGAGAGAAGGATTTACAGAGGAATTCCAGTCAGTAAATGTAGAAGGAATAATAGGATTAGAAAATCACCATTTTCTGCCCTCAGTGAAATAATTCAGGCAAGGATCAGCAGGTGAAAGACTGTTGGGGAACAGGATATTTCCACCATGCTCAGATTAATTCTAATTGCAAAGGGAAAACTTGCTTTTCCAGTGGAATGATCTGATGGTCATTAGATCACAGGTAGATCATTAGATAAGACCACATCTTATCCATGTGGTCAGTGAGCTTCACCGATAGCAGGTTAGCTTGCATTATATGCTCATATGACACAATCTGACATCATCACCACCACTGTCATCTATGAAGTATTCTAGCAAAGCATGTTTAACCTGAATTTAGTCATCAGAGTTCATGTTTACAGGAAATATGTGGCATTAAAGGAACAAAAGTTGGATACCTTTGAGCATACTCTGACAAATCCAGACTGTGGAATGTTCTATAAGACAACTGCTCTTTTAAAAAAAAAAATACAAAAAACAAACGAAAAAACAAAAAAACAGGGAGAAAGAGAGCATAAGCAGGTGGTGGGGGATAAGCGGCAGAGGGAAAAGCAGGAGAGAATCTCAAGCTGACTCCAGCACTGAGTTTGGAGCCTGACAAGGGGCATGAGGAGAGGCTTGTCAAGGGGCTTGATCTCACAACCCTGAAATAACAACCTGAGCCAAAACCAAGAGTGGGAGGCTTAACTGCACCACCCAGGCACCTCTTAAGATTTTATTTTTAAGTAATTTCTGTACTCAGCCTGGGGCTCAAACTTATAACTGTGAGATCAAGAGTCACAGGCTTTACCAAATGAACCAACCAGGTGCCCTTACGAGCTGCTCTTGGGGCACCTGGGTGGATCAGTAGGTTAAGCAACCAACTCTTGATTTCAGCTCAGGTCATGATTTCAGGGTCATAAGACTGAGCCCTATATTCGGCTCTGCATTGTACAGGAAACCTGCTTAAGAATTTGTCTCTCCCTCTCATTCTGCCCCTCCCATCCAAAAAAAAAAAAAAGACAACTGCTTTTAATCTCTTTAAAAATCATTGAGTAGGTGGGAGAGAGTGATGATGGGAGGTACTGTCCTAGATATAGAGATAAATACCATGCATGAAATGGTTGATAAAGGGTGAGAAAAGCTATGAAAGACATGGTGTGAAAGTGGGGGGGGCACCTAGTTCGCTCAGTCGGTTAGCTCTCTAACTTGTGATTTCGGCTCAGGTCATGATCTCATGGGTTGTGAGATGGAACCTACATTGTGGGGCTCTGCACTCAGTGGGGAGTCTGCTTGAGATTCTCTTTCTTCCTTTCCCTCTGCCCCTCCCCCCCACTTGTGTGCGCACATGCTCTCTCAAATAGGTAAATATATCTTAAAAAAAAAAGACGTGGGAGAATCTGAATATAGTCTGTGTATTAGATACAAGATTATTGATTTTCTTAGCTGAGTTAAGGTATTATGGGTATATAAGAGAATATCCTTATTATACCTTGCTACTCAGAGTGTGATAGATAGAGAGTACCATTGGCATCACCTAGGAGATTGCTAGAAAAGTGGAACCTCAGGTGCCTCCTCTACCAATAGAATCTGAATTATAACACATTCTCCCAGTGATTATAGGCACATCCAGAAACGCTGTTTCAGGATGTGCACACTACAAGTATTTAGAAGTGAAATGTCACGGTATCTAATTTATTTTAAAATGGTTCAGCAGGAAAAAATAGAGGGAAAGAAGGAGGAATTAATAAATAGGATAAAATATTAAGAATTGTTAAATCTAGGTGGTGGTATATAGTTTATTCATTGTATTTTTTCAAATTTCTATAAGGTTGAATGTTTTGTAATAAAAATGGGAGTAGGAGGTAATGTTAACATTTTGTTGAACTTGACCAGTCCTTTGCCAGAACCCATATTTTTGAAGGCTAAGCAATATTTTTAAACAGTAGAAGTTTTCTGAGAGGTTTGTAATTATTTCTGAAACTCCAACATTAAATGTCCTAACTTTTATAAGTAGGAACATATTAGTGTATTACGACTATAATAGGGCTTTTGTTTCTTCCATAACATATATTATCCATCTAAAAACCCTTAAAAAGGAAGTTTCGAAGTGAAGGACCACTGCCTAACATAACTATGTGGAATGTTTTCTTATTGCGGTCTGTTAGACAAAGATAAATGGGTCCTCTCTGTGAGAAGTTAATAAATGCTTGTCTGTTGACAGTTCCATAGCTAGTAATAATAGCTAACATTTGTTGAACATGTATTCTGTGCCAAGCATTGTGCTAAGTACTGAAGAAAGAAGGATTATTGAGCAGGATAAATATAGTTCTTGCCATCGTGTTGTTTACTGTCTAGCAGATGACAAATTTTTTATTTTGTCCTAAGTGTTTATACTTTATATCATGTTTTATTTATTTATTTATTTTTTTAAAGGTTTTCCCTTTTTTTTAAATTTTTATTTATTTATGATAGTCACACACACAGAGAGAGAGAGAGAGAGAGAGGCAGAGACACAGGCAGAGGGGGAAGCAGGCTCCACACACTGGGAGCCCGATGTGGGATTCGATCCTGGGTCTCCAGGATCGCGCCCTGGGCCAAAGGCAGGCGCCAGACCGCTGCGCCACCCAGGGATCCCTATCATGTTTTATTTAAATTGTTAACATTTGATGCTGTACAAAAAGTTTAGAAGCATTTTGTGTAAGAACTTCCTTATATTAGCACATATAAACTATGTAGGACAATCGTTTGACAGAGCTAAATGGGTTGGTGTATATTTTAAACAAGAATTATAATACTATGATTTAATATCACGTGTAGGTAGGGTTATAATAGAATAGCTTTTTTAAAAAACCTAAATGCTAATCACATGTTATTTTTGGCATCAGGTGGTTACCCTAACAGCTAATGATAAGACAAGTGTTTCCTTCTCCTCCCTCCGAGGACAAGGTGTTATTTATAATGTCATTGTTCGAGACCCACTTCTAAATACATCTGCTGCTTATGTTCCTGCTCACACATATGCTTGCAGCTTTGAGGCCAAGGAGGATAATTGTTCTTCCCTTGGTGAGTACATGGATTTGAACTTTGGAATTTCTTCTTTGGCTTTGCAAATCTACGTCAACCAATACAGAACTTAAGAATATTAAAAACTGCTTTTGTTTAGACTTCATTCATTCAGCATATGCTTTTTGAGTCCCTACATTGTTCCACTCTCTGTTCTAGGCATAGGGATACAGCAATGAACAAAACAAACAGAATAGCTGCCCTCCCGGAGCTTATGCTTTAGCAGGGGAGTTGAGACAGACAAAATAAATTTGTAGAATGTATGTCACAGGAGAAACTGATGTGTGCAAAGAAGCAAACATTAAGTAGGAAAGGTAGATGACAAGTGCCAACGAGGGAAGAATTCTGAGAGGGATGGCCACGCTAGCCCATGCGGAAAAGCTCACCATTGGGTGGAGACCCAAGGCGAGGCAGGGAGCCATGCACATTGTCCAGGCAGTACTGGCAGGCAGGAGAACAAAGGCCCTCAGCCCAGAGCCTTCTTGATGTGTTTGAAAACCTGCAGTGAGAACAGTGGCTGGCGGACATGGAGGAGGGTGAGAGTTGTGCAGCCTGGTAGGTCACTGTGTGGGTGAAAGCGTCTATTCAGAGAAAAAGGGAGAGGCATTGGCGGGTTTGAGCAAGGAGTGCCATGATCTCACTCATATTTTGATGGGGTCACTCTGGCTGCTTTTATGAGAAAAGTCAGGGGCAAGATCAGAGACGGAGATCGATGACCAGGCTATTGTAGTAATTCAGGTGAGAGGACAGTGGTTTAAATAGGATGGTGGCACAGGAGGTTTTGCAAGATCATTCTGTGTGTGGATTTAATGTTTTATTCTGAAATAGTTTCTCAGATAAGACACAGAAATACTAAGAATTTCCACATAATCTTCACTCAGATTTCTCAAATGTTAACACGTGCTATTTGCTTTTTATTCTTGGTTGCAACTTTCATTACTAGGTGATTGCCAAATGGCAATTTTCTAATTTCATCATCTTTTAAAAGTTATTAGTTGGCATTCTATTTTTTTTTTTTTGCATTCTATTTTAAGGAAGAGATTTCTCCTCTCCCCTATTTAGATAATAAATAATTTACATAAACCTATGGATTCTTAATTCTCTGGATTATAATCCATTACTATCATTATTTTCATGTTAAATTGTCCTCATATTCAGCCAATGAATGGCTGTGTGTATTTTGAAATAGAGCCAGTAATAGCTGCTGGTTGGATGAGGCAGTTGAAGAAAGTTGTAAAACAGGACTACCATTTTGGCCAGAGCAACTAGAGAACTAGAACTGCCATTCACTGAGGTGGGAAAGATTGTTGGAGAAGCAGTTTTGGGAGGACCTATCAGGAGTTCAGGTTTGGACATGTTAGTTTGAGAACCTTAGGAAGCATTGAGATGGACATGTTGAATTGTCAGTTGGTTATAAGTATGCTGGAATTCAGGGGAAAGGTTTGAGTTGGAGATTTCCTTGAAAGCCATGTGTTTGACCATGGACTAGATGACCTTACTGTGGAGTGAGGGTGTAGAAAAGGTCTAAGGATAGAGCCCTGGGCACTCTGGTATTTAGAGGTCCAAATAGCGCTTTCCAGGAGTTTTACTCTAAAGAATAAAGTCTATCCATTGTGTTCAGGGACTAGGATTCCTTCTCCTTTGGTAGAGCTGTATCCCATCCAGTCTTCCACTGCCATGCTCAGGACCCTGGAGAGATACAGTGTAGGAAACCCAGGCAGATAAAGGTTCTATAGTTTTCACTGATAGACTTAATCTTTTCTGGGTTCCTCTATTCCCCTTCCCTTGAGCTCTTCTGCACCAGAGCCCCTCCTAATCAGAGAGCTCTCCCACTCCTCTGGGTTTCAGGCTCTACATGTACTCCTGAGGGGAAGGGTAGCTCTGATCCTATACCTCCAGCCTAGAGTTGACCCGTGCTAGTGATGTTGGTCCTATTGTTGCTTTCATTTTCAAGCTTGATGGGTATGAGGACATCTTTCCTGAGCTCAAGTAGGGAGAAGGTATCCACACTGCCTTTTAATTAAAACCTTGGCTTGTGTATCATAGCCTAGAGTGAGACTGTGATGATTAAAGACCACTCTACTTGGGCTATCTTCTATCCTCCCAGTCCATTCACCACGTTGCCTTCGTTTGCCCCCTAAAAGTGCCCATTTTGTCTCTTGTGTTGTCTCTAGAGTCTACTTCTTATGAAACCTTCTGCTCTCTGGTTTTACCTGTATCATTTTTTTTTTCTGTCCTTTCCCAGTACTGTGATGGTGGATTCCATTTAGTTCCTCTCTGCTGTCTAATATCATGGAGGACTGTGTTAACAGTGCGTGTCAGTTTTTATTGGGTTGGAAGATCATGATAACTCTGATGATTATACTTGCTGGAAACTGTTACTCGATTTTCTCTTGAAAAAAACTATCCCAGCAATCTCTATGCTTGTGGTATAAAGATTAAATGATAGAACAGCAATCAACCACAGGTCTGAAATAAGCAGACTGTGGCCTCTTACCTTTTGTTTCATCTTTCTTTTGGGCACTTTGTTCTCAGAAAAGTTGCTGTGTGGGTATGTATCATACCCTGCAAATTCTGGTCTTCTGGCTGTGTTTCTTATCTGGGTATAGGTCTTTCTGATATCTCCATCTGAGCACTCTTAAGTGTTTTATGTGTTTTAATCTGTGGTAGGTTTCTAACATTTTTCACATGAGATTGTATAGGCGTTTTGTTTTCTTTTTTAGTTCAGGGATTATCTCAAAGGAGTCATGATGGTGAATTTAGTGAGTATATTTTTCTCTTTTGTTAGCTGTATCTTTCAGTTCATGTTATTTATATTTAAGGTAGTGCCGAGTAAGGACCATGAGATTTGGAATTCTTTAGCATCATGAAGTATATTGTGCTTTATTGTTAGTTATAATGCTACATTTTTTTCAGAAGCAGTATATGTAAGGAAGATGGGCAATAATTTGCTCATGTGTGACTTGCAGTGTAGTACATGTTTTTTTATTTTAATGTGAGTTTCGGTTAAAATCTTTTATGATGAAGAGCTTCAAAGAACCTTCATAAACTAATTTTTCAGCCTTAACGATTTGATTCATGGCCATGATTTTGTTTCAGCTCTAAACCCACCTGGGTTCCTGCCTCCCAGCCCTCCTCTGTTACTGAATTTTTTTAAAATAGCAAATCCCTGGCCATCATTTTCCTCACAAAGTTTTTGTGTGTGTGTCGGTGTCTTAAAGATAGGTGCTGTTTTTAAAATCTATAGCCACAGTTTCACCAACACAAGTTTCAGTGAAAAATATTGAAGATAATTCCTTAATAGCATCAAATTAACAGCCAGTATTTACATTTTCCTAATCATCCCAATTGTTTTTCAGGTTTTTTTTTTTTTAATTTGAATCAAGTTTCAGATGAAGTCTATACATTGTATATATTTAGCTGATGTGTCTTTTAAGTCTCTTTTAATCCCTAGTTTTCACTCCCATTGCCCTCCTTTTTTCTTACAGTCTGTGAAGAAACAGAACTATGTGTGTTCTAACACACAACACCCTAAGAATATGTCACAAGTAGTGCTGCATACCTCATTAGGAAGCATAGATCGTCTGGTTACCTTTTTGTTATAGCAGTAGCATTGATATTCATTGCCCACATAAAATTTGTTAGGGGCTTGCCACCCCTAGGGTATTTCCAAAGTAGGTTTATAATGTATATATTTGTTATATATATTATAAATTAAAATAACTACATAAATTATTGTCAGCTCACTTTGCTTTATTCATGAAGCTTTAAATACAAGGCATTAAATTGGATATATTATCCATTAAATTTTCATTCTTTTTAGGAAGAGTATCAACCAAAGTGTTCTTCACCCTTTTTGCCCTGCTTGGTCTCTTCATTTGTTTTTTTGGACACAGATTCTGGAAAACAGGTATTACTGATGTAGTTGCTATTTATGTGCCTTGTGGGTTGTTTTCTTTTTTGCTTAAATTCAGCTGGGGAATTTATGACTTTTAAGGAGATGACGCAACTGTGTATCTCCAGCTATCTTCATGGAGTATACAATTTACTTAGTTGCTGCACATTTTAACTTTTTCTCTTAAAGTTGGAATATAAACCCCTCTTATTAAGAGGGGAACAAAATTGGATTTATTTTAAGATTTTATTTATTTATTCCTGAGAAACAACAGAGAGAGAAGCAGAAACATAGGCAGAGGGAGAAGCAGGCTCCCTGCAGGAGCCTGATGCAGGACTCGATCCCAGGACTTGATCCTGGGACTCCAGGATCACACCCTGAGCTGAAGGCAGATGCTCAACCAGTGAGCCACCCAGGTGCCCCACAAAATTGGGTTTGAGCAGCAAACTTCTTCAGTTGCTAGGTCGGCTAGCTGACTAAAAATAACTAAGGTTGGAAATCAGGACATCTGTGTAAGAATTTGTGGATTTTGATGATAGTAATTGACCATGGTTTCAAATAAATAAAGCTGCATGGCTATGGTATACATAGATTGAAGTGTCTTCTTAGCCCTGGGAGTTTCAGACTGAAAACAGGAACTCCATGGTCTTTCCAGTGAAACTCATTCAGGGAGTGGAATACAGTGATCCCCCTTACCCGCGGGGCATACTTTCCAAGTCCCTAAGTGGATGCCTGAAACTGCGGACAGTACTTGAACCCTACATAGTATGTTTTTTCCTGTGCATACAGGCCTATGATAAAGTTTTAATTTATAAATTAGGCACAGTAAGAGATTAACAGTAACTCTTATAACCATAATAAAATAGAATAATTATGGCAATATGCTGTCATAAAAGTTCTATCAGTGTGGTCCTTCTTTCTGAAAATATCTGATTGCCTTGCACTTACCCTTCCTATGCTGATGTGAGATGATAAAATGCCTATATGATGAGATGAAGGGAAGTGAATGATGTAGGTAGAAATTATGACATAGTGTTAAGGTACTGTTGACCTTGATCTCCACAGGAGATCATCTGCTTCTGGACCATGGGGTAACTAAGCCATGAAAAAAGAAACTGGAGGTGGGGACTACTACATAAATTATGCTAACTGAATTGATATGAATTTTTGAGCTGCTTTTTATGTAACAATGTTTGCAATTACTAAAAAAAAATTCCATATTTAGTTCATTAATAAGGAGTATAAGAACATAAGAAAATAGTCCTGATCTCAAACTCTTTAAACTTGCTTTAATAAATTATGAATTGTGGGGTGCCTTGGTGGCTTAGTTGGTTAAGCATCTGACCATTGTTCTTAGCTCAGGTCTTAATCTCAAGGTCATGAGTTCAAGCCCTGCACTGGGCTCCACGCTAGACCTAGAGCCTCCTTAAAAAAAAAAAATTGAAATATATAGCTCCTCCATTATTATATTTTTTTCTTGATTGAGTAGAAAATATTGTGAAGAATGTTTACTTCCTCAAACTGTAGAATTATTCTGTAACAAAGAATTTAATTGCTAAGCTCTAGGCAAGGTCGCAAAGATACTACTAGGTATTTTAGTGGGTGAAGATAGTGATTAATTATTTATCCTAAACAAGAAATGATGAATTAAAGGAAGGTATAAAAGTCACTTTCTGCTTTGGAATAGTTTATTTTTCTTTGCCTTTTATTTTATTTTTGCTCGTGTAACAAATTGAAATTTAGCATATAGTTTCAGATGAGACACAATGACAAAAGTATTCTGTTCTTGTTTTTAGTGGGAAGTATGAAGGTGTTAAAATGAGCTATGAGATTAAAAGATAACTTACCAATTGAAACTGACCTCTATGCAAGAAAGTATATCTAATAGTTAATACTTAAATATTGTATTCATTTAGTAATATTTACCCTCAATGACTTCTGTTTCCTCTTCCAGGTATTTATTTCTTTCCTCTGCATGTCCTAATATGTGTAAATTCTGAAAGCTTAAGCATATATTTTTAGGTTAGAAATTTAAATTGCACTGTGAAAAGAATACCTAACCATAGCTTGTATTTTTTTTTTCTGGTGGTTTGCTACTAGAATTATTTTTCATAGGTTTTATCTTCATGGGATTCTTCTTCTACATACTGATTACAAGACTGACACTTATTAAGTATGATGGTAAGTGAAAATAATACAGTTTGGGAAGAAAGGTGCTCATAATCCTCCTTTCTTTCTATAGTTTGATCAGTATTGTGTGTGATAGATATCCTGTTATATGTGTAAATAATTGGCCACTTATACTTGACATCTTTTCTAGACTAATTTTAGGCCTTCTGTTTTTTTTTTTTTTTCCTTCTGGGTTTTTAATTTGCATGGTGAATTCCTTGATACTTAGGGAAATGAAGGGCCGTGTTTTTTATAAACCTGTTTTCCAGCTATGTGGTATATTAAAGATAGGAGGTTTATAACAATCAAAATATCAAGATTTTCCTTACATTAAAACAAACGCAATCCATTCTTCCTTGTCATATCTAACAGAATGCTTGTTGCCCTTCTTCCTTAGCTCCGATTTATAGGTTGTGCCAAACCACACCTGTCCCTTGCCTGGGAGGTTTAGCTGACCTGCTAGCTCCCTAGCTCTAACCAGCCCCTCCTACAGGAAGGCCTCTCCATGCTGGTTGCAGGGCACTGACCTACACAAACACTAAGGCTGGCTCTTGTAATGGTACTGTGTGTTTAAAGCATGTGGGAGGAAAAGCTACCTCTGATCAGGTTCATCTTCTCCTTCTGTGCAGTCCGTCTGATTCTGACAGCCGTCACGGGAAGCGTTGGTGGGATCCTCTTGGTAGCTGCGTGGTGGCGATTTGGAATCCTCACGTTCTGCATGCTGTGTGTTGGATTAGTGCTGGGCTTTCTCATCTCCTCAGTGACGTTCTTCACTCCACTGGGTAGGAGAGGTGTCATGTTTTCTGTGTTCAGTCTTGGTTGAAAGACCTTATTTGGGCTCTCTAGGTACAAATACTGCCTCATCGGAGACTTGTGGGGCTTTGCCTGTAGAGTCTGGGAAATTTGTATTGGTGATGTAGCACTTTAGGCAGGGCCAGTACAAAGTGAATCTTAAGCAGAAGCTCAGTATATCCCACAGATAAACTTGGCACTGCTCTGATGGCAACTGAATTGGGAACCCGGTGCTTTGTTCCTGGTTGTCTTATACGCCAACCTTCACTCACTGTCTGCCAAATCCTGGGTGTTCTAACATACCTACTTGTCATCTAGGGTGGTAGTGCAGGGATGGTTCTGGGGATTTTTTTTAAGTCATTCAATTTCTATCAGTTTTTATTTTGTTTTTTAAAAAAAATAAAAAATAAAATAAATAAGATTTTACTTATTCATTCATGAGAGAGACGGAGAGAGAGGCAGAGACGTAGGCAGAGACATAGGCAGAGGGCGAAGCAGGCTCATGACCCTGGGATCATGACCTGAGCCAAAGGCAGACACTCAACCACGAGCCACCCAGGTGCCCCTCTGTCAGTTTTTAGAATGTGGTTAACTTGTAAGTTAGTTTTCTTTTTTAGAGGAGGCAAAATTTTCCTTTTATCCTTCTAAGATTCTTTGGCTGGTCTAATAATTAAATTGACATAAGACAGATTAACAAGAGCAAAACAAATTTAATTTTGTATGTATAGGAACCCCTTAAAAATATGAGACCCAAAGGCAGTCAGGCAGTCGAAGCTGCTTTGTCATCCTGAGCTAAGGTATGGGGTAGGTGCTTGGGGAGGGTAATTCACAAGAAAATAAGAAGAGCAGATATTTGGTAATTAGATATTTGCCCTGTCAGGCAGTTAAGTATTTCAGATAAAATAGTTATCACTGGTAATTGCTCTCTTTCTGGGCCAGCCTCCCTATGTAAATTCTTTTAGGCAGTTAAGGAAGCAATAAAAGTTTTTCCTGACTCTGCTAGGTCTTGACTGCCTTCAACTCAAAATAATCCACATGCTAAAGTGACACATTTTGAAGTGGCATATTCTGCTCCCCTTCACTTTGTGGTTGTAAAATAACTTACATTTCCTGACTGTTATCAAAAATACAAAAAAAAAACCCACAGTATTTATATTCTAAGGTACTCTTTTAGGCTGCTTCCTTCCTGTGATCCTATTTAGTTCTTCTATAATGTATATCAACATCAGATTAAAGTTGATGAAAACGTTAGATGTAAGAAGAGCTGTCTCTTGAAGCTGTCACTGAGAATGCATGATGGTGGTTTGCATTCAAAACCTAAAGGAAACCTAAAGGTTTTTACAGAGCATAGATGGCTCTCTGAAGATTTGTTTTCCCAAGACCACAAAGAATTGACAAGCTGTGTGTTTACTGACCATTCCAAGGCCCTTTGTTCTGATGTTAGCCAAACCTAAGTCAGGTTCATTCTTATGGGCCCCCTTGCAGGTAGTTTTTTATCTAGATAGTCTGATGCAAAGTAGCAATGTTTAGATTTGGCTAAAGGACAGATTCACAGGGACGTTTGTTGAAAATGCAGATTCAGGTCCCTACTCTAAAAGTGCTAAATCAACTATTTAATTAGTTCCCTTCCCTTTTTTGTTGATGTTTGGAGGATGGAGGGATGACTGGTTAGAATTTTTTTTTTTAAGATTTTATTTATTTATTCATGAGAGAGAGAGAAAGAGAGGGAGGGAGGGAGAGAAAGAGAGGGAGGGAGGGAGGGAGGCAGAGGGAGAAGCAGGCTCCATGCAGGGAGCCTGATGTGGGACTTGATCCCAGGACTCCAGGATCACACCCTGGGCCGAAGGCAGGCGCTAAACCCCTGAGCCACCCAGGGATCCCTGGTTAGAATTTTTAATAGTTGATGTGTTCACTTATAAATTGTTTCATTCCTGAAGGACAGTGTCTCCAGTGGGTGCAAGCATTAAAATTTGAAAAATATTTGCTCACCTCTCAGATCTAATTAAATTCCTTCTGTTTTCATCTTATGATGTTACTAGCAAAGAGCTTTATTCTGAAAGGGTCAGTCTTCACATGCTTGCATCATAACAACCTTTTTTAAAAAAAAAAAATTATTTATTTATTTGAGAGAGAGAGCTAGCGAGGGAGTGCACAAGCAGGAGGGAGAGGCAGAAGAGGCTTCCTGCCTAGCAGGGAACCTGACTCAGAGCTTGATCCCAAAACCCCAGGATCATGACCTGAGCCAAAAGTAGATGCTTAACTGATTGAGCCACCTAGGCACCCCCACAGCAACTATTTTTAATCCCTGAATTCCTTTCCGTTTTCTTTTCTTTTCTTTTTTTTTAAGCTACATGTGTATCTTGTGAGGGTTAATACAGTTAAACTACAGAATATAATCTAATCCATAAATTTACCTCACTGCAACATGTTGCAGTTCACTTTCTGAGAATGTGGGGTCCCAAGGTCACCTCTTCTTACTATGGAACTCCCCCCTCTTTAGGGATTTTAGGGATTTATGGGTCTTAAGATAGAGGGCCACCTCCAAGTGGATTGAATGATGGTGCCAGTACTAGTATTAATTATCAGGCTTATATTCTTGCTATTTAAATTTATAAATAGGAGTTTTAATATAGTCGTCCCAGGTTACCCGCAGGTATGCCACATTTTGGAGAAGAGTTTAGTAGAAGTGCAGGTGAGTGATTAGCTCCTGTCTTTTCTGATGCATGAGGAATCCCCTCTTCCAGGATGCAGTGGCTGGGCAGGAAATGCATTGATGGTAAAAGTTTAGTAAATGGATATTGCTGCTCATACTGGGTAGGAGTTCATATAGTTAGCTCTGAATGCCATTTACCTGCACTTTTTACTTTGCAGTATAAAATCAGAGTGATAGAAACATAGAGCAAGAAAGGATGATTTGGAGCTTTGACATCAAGTAGTTCAGTCTTCTCATTTTATGGGTTAGGAAACTGAGGCACAGCATCACAGCTAGTGAAGAGAAGAGCTTGGACTATTTTAGCGTCTTCTAAGTTTTCCTGGGAATAAATGCAGAGCATTTACCTGCTTGTTTTACCTCCCACCCCTAACCCTTCTAAGACACATCCTTTAAAGGGGATTTTATTGGCAGGTAAATGAAAAAAGTCAGAATTCATTTCTAATTGCCAGCCTATTCCCTGGTTGTTATAATAAACCTTCACTGTATGTCTGTGTTCAGATGTTGAGAAAATAAAATTGACCTTGGTAAACTTACCGTTACTGACTCTTGCTTGCTTTTTGCTTTTTCAGGAAACCTAAAGGTTTTTCATGACGATGGTGTGTTCTGGGTGACCTTCTCTTGTATAGCTGTTCTCATTCCAGTAGTTTTCATGGGCTGCCTAAGAATAGTAAGTGTTTCATCGAATGAGATTTATTCATTCTGTTGTCCCAGGTCCTCAGTTCTTCACTTACTGCCTCATTGTGCATGTTTTATTTACCAGGGAGAACTATGGGATAATCTTTAGGAGATGATTAATTTTAAGTAGCCTTGTTTCCGTGAAAGCAAGAGAAGTTGTGATTACAATTACAGTGTTTTTTTTTTTCATCAAGTGGGGCAAGTCACCACTAACAGTGTGCTTTGAAGTGTGGGAGCAGAGGTTGGGCTCACTGTAAATGCACAACCTGATGGGTCATTAGTTTCAGCGGTCTCTCCAGAGGACGTGTTCTTCATCTAATTAGACTTTATTACTGAAGTTCTTTCATAGGGAAGACATTTCCTATGACTAGGGTAAACTGTGTTTTAAGAATTCCCTATGGGTCTGGAAGGTGGTTTTCGTTTAACTTTCTAGGTAGCCTTTATTCAGCTCTGACACTTGTTCCATTTCATGGGTACTGAGGGAGCAGAAGTGATTCCCTGTGATTGAGGCCAATGAGGAGGGTTAGAAACTATTCCTTGTTCTACCAATGGCAATGTCTAAATGCTTGTACTCTTCCACAGCTAAACATACTGACTTGTGGATTCATTGGCTCCTACTCCGTGGTCTTGGCCTTTGACAGTTACTTGTACACAAGCCTTTCTTACATCACTTTGAATGTACTCAAGAGAGCACTCAACGTGGATTTCCACGGAGCTTTCACAAATGTGCCTTTTCAAACCAATGGTAAGACTAAATCCAAGAACTAGAATGATACTCAAGTAGCACTACCTGTGCTAACAAGAGCACTTGGTAACTAGATTGAAAGGTTAATTGGACAAAAGGAGGAAACTCAGTCTAAACAGATGCTGTTAGAACCTTCTGTTAATGATAGCTTATGATCATAGGAACAAAGAATTTAAATTTGTAAGGTGGTTCAAGTTCATACTTCTAAAAATCTGCTAAATGAACTTTGTTAAGAAATTTTGTTTTGTTTTGTTTTGTTGTTGTTAAGAAATTTCTCAACCAGGGGATCCCTGGGTGGCGCAGCGGTTTGGCGCCTGCCTTTGGCCCAGGGCGCGATCCTGGAGACCCGGGATCGAATCCCACGTCAGGCTCCCGGTGCATGGAGCCTGCTTCTCCCTCTGCCTATGTCTCTGCCTCTCTTTCTCTCTCCCTGTGTGACTATCATAAATAAATAAAAATTAAAAAAAAAAAAAAGAAATTTCTCAACCAGATTTACTTAGGTTACCTGGTCAATTCCCAGTGGCGAGAAAAATCCTGGGAACAAAGCTGCTTGGTTGGGGCGGGATGAAGGATGAGAATGACAGCCTGATTTTTTAAAGTTATTGCCTTGTTTCCCTCCTTTAAAGAAGCATATAATTTGCTACTTGAAAGTGAAAAAGTGATTTTCGATCAGTGTTATTCTGTAATTTTAAGATTCTACCCATTAAAGGTTCTCCATTAACTTTTTTTTTTCTTTAAATATTTTATTTATTTATTCATGAGAATACACAGGAGGTAGAGAGAGAGAGAGACAGACAGACAGAGGGAGAAGCAGGCTCTATGCAAGGAGCCTGATGCAGGACTCAATCCTGGGACTCCAGGATCACACCCTGGGCTGAAGGCGGCGCTAAACCCCTGAGCCACCTGGGCTGCCCCCCCCTCTGCCCCCCACCGTTAACTTTTGAAGAAAAAAAAAGTGACGGAATGTTCACAAGTGTAGGATGTATTGGTTTCAGAAATGTTAAAATATGGCAGATGGAAAAGCATTCCTTGGAATTGAGGATATATAAGCACAGTCATGATTGCTGTGAATATTTAAGGACAAATCTTTCCCTCTACCATCCTGAGCCTGCCCTTGTTGGATGAGGTTGATGGTAGAGACCTTGAAATCCATGTATTTTGGAAGTTTTACATACAACACAAGTATTTTGTCAAGCCTTTAATAGAAGCTCAGTTGCAGTTTGTTGAATCTTTTCATGCATTTCTGTATCCACTCTGAGTGACAGGGCGTGGCACCCCATATTGAGTGGAATGGGAAGAGAGCAAGGTGGCATTTAATGTTCCAATATGTGTTTGTGAGGTATATCTAGAGGACTGCTTTCTCCCCACCCCACCTCCCAAAAAAACACAACAAACAACTACTCCTACAGGCACTGCTCATAGAATTTTGGGATTCCAAGGATCCAAACAACTGATTCCTTTACAGCCTCTCTGGATTTTCAAAGGGCTATCATAGAAAATTCCTATTTTAAAATTTAAGACTGTAGCTTCCTTATTCAAGTTTCTTGGTTTGTAAGTGAAGAACTCACCAGAAAGTCTAATATTGCCAAGAAAGAATGACAGATTTAAACTCTGGAAGGCTGTATTCGAGCTATGTTAGGTTTTAAATTACAAGAGTTCAAACTGCTTTTCTGCTGTTTTGTTTTTTTTTTTTAGACTTTATTATCCTGGCAGTATGGGGGATGCTTGCTGTAAGTGGAATTACATTACAGATTCGAAGAGAAAGAGGGCGACCGTTTTTTCCTCCTCACCCATACAAGTTATGGAAGCGAGAGAGGGAGCGCAGGGTAACGAACATTCTGGACCCTAGCTACCACATCCCTCCATTGAGAGAGAGGCTGTATGGCCGACTAACCCAGATCAAAGAACTCTTCCAGAAGGAACAGCCAGCTGGAGAGAGAACACCCCTGCTTCTGTAGATGCCAAAGGGCTTAGTCAGTGTAATCTTGAAGTACAACTCAAGCATCACCTCAGCTTTGGTGTGTATGACCAGTCTGCTTCATCCATCTGCGGTTCAAGTCTGAGAAGAAAACAGGCTTATTTATCTATCTGTGCTTTGCACAATATTGTGGTGTCCTTATTGATATATTATCAGAAGGTACCCTTCTTTTGTTTATTTTTAATTGTGGTAAAATGCACATTTACTGTATGAATCAAAGTGTATAGTTCATTAGGCACTTTGTTTTTGCCTTTTATTGCATAAAATGCTAATTTAAATATTAAATTATGTCAGTTATTTGAAAATAGGTCAACTTATATAGATAATAAAACTTTGATATGGACATAATGGCCTCATTTTTTTTCCTTTAAAGGCCTTTTAAAATAGTGTTGACATCTGATTTCTAATTTAAAGTGCATTAGAATTGTTTCTTAGGAAACCAGTTGGCTCCTTTTGAAATTCGAATTTCATAGTTCTGCTAAATTGGTTGTTATTAGCATTGATGTAAAACACAGATTCAAAAATTTTCTCTTTTGTATATAAAGACTTTGTACCATCTGTGTTTTAGTGTCGAGGAGGGAGTCAAAAAGGAATTAGGTATTTAAAGGAACTGCTTTGAATTGGGAACTTGGATTCTGTACGAAGAGGCCCTTCAGTTTTGACCCTTTCTCCCCACAAGCAAGCACCTGGATGCCCTGGGCTACATACCGACTCCTCTTGGACTTTTCTCTTCATTGTAAGAGACATTGCCTCTGGTTCTGCCTCTGGATTGTAAGCTGGTGATTCTGACATGCCTGAGTCATAGTGAGATGAGTTGTGGTGGTTGCATTTACATTTATGAGTTGACCACTATTTAAATGATGCTGCTTTTAAGAGGTTTCTTTTTTCAAAATACAAATTTTTGAAGTTTCAGGTAACTGAAAAATTTTCAGCTTTTGCATTTAAAAGTGTTTTGGAAAGGCTGAAACAAAGTGCAAACACACAAGACTAAATCATTGTTGCTTTGGAAAATCACATACAGGTGTTTACTGTTCTGTAATCCTGTTTATATGACTTTAGTAATGCTTAAACTTGAAAAAAATTAAATCCTTGTAGGGATTCTGGCCTCTGCCAAATCTTTGTATATTCTAACAAAGTTACATGAAATGTTTGTTATTTTCTATACCATCAAAACAGACTGCTACTGAAGAATGTAAAGACAGAGCTTACTTTTTTGGAGGCTTGAGACAAATTGTTTAAAATTTTTCATGATTTGAGTAATAAAAAGTCAGTTTGTATAATTTTTTAATAATAAATACCTATTTTGAAAAAAATGCTAAAAAAATCTATTAAATTTTTATGAAACTTTTTTACCAACTGTATTTGTACCACAGCAACAAAAACATGATAGAAGTTTCATAGGTATAAAATTACTTAATATGGAGAATTAAATCTTTATTTTAAACATTCAGTTTAAGCCTAAATAAAGAATAGGAAATGAAGGAAATCTGAGGCAGTGTTAAAAAATATCCCTTGTTGGAAGGAAAGCTGATGTCTTTTGAGGATTAATTTGTGTTGGTGTCCTTAGCACTTTAGGTTTGTCCAACTGAAGGAAGTAGTAGTATTCCCAGAAACTTAGTTATACTATTCCTTAAATGCTTTAGTTTTGATTAACTTGTTATAGGTTAGCTACCAGATTGCCAAACCACACCAGCTAACTAGTGCTATGGACCAGTTGAGTTCTGTAGAAGGTTGGGATAGAAAATTGATTCTTCCAAGGAAATTACTAGACTATTAGGCCACGTACAGACCTTAGAGATCATGTTATCTGACCCCTTATTTTCTATCAGGAAATTCTTGACCAAGGAATCAATTATATGAAGCCACTATTATCAATAATAGTGCCCAGATCAAAATTTGGGATAACTGACTTCCCATCCAAACTGCTTTACACTGTATCATAATGAAAATGTAAATCATGGATTATTTTCAATTTTCTTCTGCTGGTGAATTGGTGACAATACAGTGAGAAGGCAGCCTTCTGCAAGCAGAGAAGAGGCCTCAGTGGAAACCAACCTTGATCTTGGACTTCCAGCTTCCAGAATGTGAGAAAATAAATTTCTGTTGTTTAAGCCACCCTATGTGTGGTATTTTATGGCAGCCCTAGCAAACTAATACCCTTTATAAGTCATTTTAATCTGATTGTTGACTGAAAGACCGCTGGGCATTCTGGCCCCGCTATAAAATGAGGGGCTCAAGCTAGTGGTAAGTTGGGCCAACCCAGGGACTATCATATCATCATTACACTGGGCAGGTTCGCAGGTCTAGATCAGGCTATATTGGCATGAGGAAAAAAAAACAAAACAAAAACAAAAACCCAAGAACAGAAAACCCCACCTACAATGATAATAGTTTTTACTTGGATCTCACCTTTACTCATTACATAAATATGTGTAAAATTCCTGAGTGCCAGGCCTTGCCTTGGTAGTAGGAAGATGGCAAAATATACTGCTTCAGGGTGTAGAGTGTGAGAAGAGATACTAGAGTAGTTCACACACAGGACATACAATATGCAGTGGAATTTAAAATGGACTAGGGAAAAACAAAAAACAAAAACAACAACAACAAAAAAATGGACTAGGGGGTAAAATCTGGGATGTCAGGGAAGAATTCCTTGAAATGACATTTCAGCTGACACGGAAGAGGAGTAGGAGTAACCAAACCACAAGGAGACTGACTGCATTCCACGTAGTGGGGTTAAAAGCATAAAGAAAAGCTTTGAGGCCTTCCCTGCTCTATGAAGAGCCCTCAGTGGAGTCTCTTCTCACCTGTGTGCCCTGCCAGTCCTTGCAGCCCTTCACTTTGGTGCTTGGTGGGGTCAGCGCTCCCGTTCTCAGCTTTTCCCATTTTGACCCAGAAAGGATGTCATTTTTTTTTAATTAAGTTATAATTGACATACAATACTATGTTAGTTTAAGATGTCCGGTCTTGATTGGATTCTTTTATATATTACAAAATGATTACCACCATAGAGTTAGCTACTGCCTCTGTCATGTCACATAATTATCATTCTCTTTGTGAAAATGAGATCTACTCCAGTATTGACTATAATCAGCCATTCTACTTTCTGTTACTAGGAATCAGGCTTTTTTAGGTTCCACATATTAAGTGGTATCATCCAGTGTTTGCTTTTTTCTGACTTCCCTCACTTGCCATAATGCCCTCAAGGTCCATCCATGTGGTTGGAAGATGGCAGGATTTCTTTCTTTTTCACGGCTCAATAATACTGTTATATAAATGGTATATATACCAATGTATTCAACTATATATACAACTATATAACTATAACTATATATATAACTATAAATACTATATATATAACTAACTATATAACTATATAAAATATGCACCACATCTTTATCTGTTCATCCACTGATGGACACTTAGGATGTTTCCCTGTCTTGGCTATTGTGAATAATGCTGCAGTAAACATGGGAATTAGCCATTTTTTTCAAAAGATCTTTTCATTTCCTTTGGATATATACCCAGAACTGGGATTGCTGGAGTATATGGTAGTTCTATTTTTATTGTCCATCTTTCCTCGTTAAATTTTATCTAAACAACAAAACTGCACAGAGCATACTTTGCCTTTTTATTTACCTTTCTTTTTCATTTCCTCCCCAGCCCCTAGAATTTAGCAGTTGTTCCCTGGCAGGTGAGTCAGAACTCTTGAGTGATCCACAAGCTATGGTCCTCAAATTCTTTTCCTTCTGTTCCAGAATCCTATCAGTATACCTCTATAGGAGCATACCTGCCTTCACTGCCCCCAGGGTGAATTCCCTCCTTTGGAAGGAGGTTAAAGGATGGCTACAATTACCTTTTTATTTTGAAGTTCTTAAGGACTAGAAAAGGCTTATTCACCTGAGGCTCATGGCTCCTCCTGCTAATGCATTCTCTATTGTCCAGATTGGCATGCATGTTCTCTGGCCTGCCTGAACTTGTGGTGGGCACATTGGGCAGGGCATGGGAGCTTTAAGGAAGGCAGTAGAAGATCAAAAATGATGCAGATGGACGGAGTAGTTGAGACATATTAAGTGTTAGCCTTTGCTTCCCAGTTCTCCAGCATTTTCAGCAATTGAACTGAACCACAACACCTTTTTTTTCTTTTTCAAAGATTTTATTTATTTTAGAGAGTGTGAGCAAGGTGAGGGGCAGAGGAAGATCCCAAGCTGACTCCCCATTGAGCGCTAAGCATAACGTGGAATTCAATCTCACGACCCTGAGATCATGACTTGAGCTGAAATAAAGAGTCAGAAACTTAACTGACTGAGCTGCCCAGGTGCCCCAACACCTTTTTAAAAATACCTGCCTCATTTGGAGCAGGAGACCATCCATATATCAAAGTTGCTTAAAACTGCAATATATGTATTGCTAGGGCTGGGCCTAGGGTTCTAGAGGACTACTTCCATGGACAGAATTAAAGGCTTTTCTCTGCAAAAAAATCTCTCCTCTTGCTTATTAATGCCTGAAGGTTTTTTTTTTATATATAAATTAATTTTTATTGGTGTTCAATTTACCAACATACAGAGTAACACCCAGTGCTCATCCCGTCAAGTGTCCCCCTCAGTGCCCGTCACCCATTCACCCCCACCCCCCGCCCTCCTCCCCCTCCACCACCCCTAGTTCATTTCCCAGAGTTAGAAGTCTTTATGTTTTGTCTCCCTTTCTGATATTTCTCACACATTTCTTCTCCCTTCCCTTATATTCCCTTTCACTATTATTCATATTCCCCAAATGAATGAGAACATACACTGTCCTTCTCCGGTTACTGTGGCCAAGTTCAAAAAGGGTGTTGCCTGAGTTCTCCTCTGGGATTTTGATGGAATCTTGTCTCACATTTAGATCTTTCATCTATTTTGAGTTTATCTTTGTGTATGGTGCAAGAGAGTGGTCTAGTTTCATTCTTCTGCATGTGGATGTCCCAATTTTCCCAGCACCATTTATTGAAGAGAACGTCTTTCTTCCAATGGATAGTCTTTCCTCCTTTATCGAATATTAGTTGACCATAAAGTTCAGGGTCCACTTCTGGGTTCTCTATTCTGTTCCATTGATCTATGTGTCTGTTTTTGTGCCAGTACCACACTGTCTTGATGACCGCAGCTTTGTAGTACAACCTGAAATCTGGCATTGTGATGCCCCCAGATATGGTTTTCTTTTTTAAAATTCCCCTGGCTGTTCGGGGTCTTTTCTGATTCTACACAAATCTTAAAATAACTTGTTCTAAGTCTCTGAAGAAAGTCCATGGTATTTTGATAGGGATTGTATTAAACATGTAAATTGCCCTGGGTAAAATTGACATTTTCACGCCTGAAGGTTTTTCAACAGAAGACAGTCTTCCATTTTTGTACCCATATACTATCTGCTGGACTACTCTAGAGAGAGAAGACACGCACTTCATATTACAGACATTTTAAGACACATTTAAGTCTCTTGGGCTTCAGAAGATTGAGGATAAGAAGAAAAAGAAAAAGCAGTTTAAAAAAAAAAAAAGCCCAGACAAATGTAGCACAGAAGTTGATACAAGCGAGGGTCAGGGTGGACTCCTGTGCTTGTCAGGAGGCAGCTTGCCATCGGTGTAAAGTGACCAGAGCTCTGGAAAGAAATGGGCTGCTGCTGGTCCTCGTGTGTAAGTCGGCCAAGCCTGCCATCATCACCTCACATCTGATTCAGTTGAGCTCGAGCAGATCAGTGCCTGCCTGTCAGGTTCCCCGTCTCAGCGAGACACTCACACCGGTCATTGGCTTAAAATGTGTCCTGGCCTTGGGGTTCAGAAAGGACACCACGGCTTTTGTTGAGGAGGTAAAAGCCATAATTCCCCGAGTACCCAGTTTACATATACCATGGCTACATGGGCAGCCTGAAGAGGCCTGGGAAAACGTAGACACTGTATCTCCGGAAAGCGGGACAAGGAGATTTTAGAGACTTCTTTTGAAAACCTCTCTAAACATAAAAAGAAGTTTGTGGAAGGTCAGCAGGCTGTAGTGTTACAACCCCTGAAAATAAAGTGATTCCAAACCCCAGTAAGATAAGGAAACCACCCAAAAGTAAAAAACCTATTGCAAAGGAATCTCCTATAAACTTGTAGTTTCCTACAGCTGTAAAAAGACACTCTGTAAAGAAGCCTTAAAACAAATAAAATGTGTTATTTTTACATAAAAAAAAAGAAAAGTAGAGCTACTTTTCTTCCAAACCAGCTCTCTCCTTGAATTCCTTCAACGATACATACCAGGGATTCTCTACTGAATATTTTACTGAATGATGTTTTTAACGTCTTGTATTCTATAGGTCTATAGTCTGCATGACTAGGAATAAAATCCTTACAAAGTTTGTTTTTTTTTTTTTAAGATTTTATTTATTTATTCATGAGAGACACAGAGAGAGAGAGAGGCAGAGACACAGGCAGAGGGAGAAGCAGGCTCCATGCAGGGAGCCCGACATGGGACTCGATCCTGGGTCTCCAGGATCGTGCCCTGGGCTGGAGGCTGTGCTAAACCGCTGAGCTACCAGGGCTGCCCCCTTACAAAGTTTTAATTTAAATTCCAGTTAGAGATAGGTCTTAAAATGAACATATTCTAGAAGTTTAACATTTGAGGAATTCATTCACTTGATCTCACATCAACTTTGATTTAATAGCACTGAGTGACCGACCGGACCACTGAGTGGTGCTGAAATTTGAGATGTCCCTGGTAAATCCTTGGCATTTTCAAGTAGCCAAGGACTAGCCGAATTCATCTTAAATTGTATATATAGACCTAAGCAATGTGCTGAGGTTTTGGATTATGGACCGTGACAGGGACAAGTTCTTGAAACAGATTCTAACCAGCTTTCTTCTTTTTTAGTTTTACAGAAAGCCCAAATGTAGCCTTCCTAAGCAGTATCTAATACTCAAGAAGTAGGTGTGTGTGTATACACACATACATCCTGTGTTTCAAGATTAGAATGTTTTTAGCTAATATCAATATAGTGAATTTTCTGAAGGTTTTTAAAAAATTTTATTTGACAGAGCAGGGATGGGGGGGAGGGGAGAAAGCCAGAAAGCACAAGCAGGGGAGTGGGGGGGGACAGTAGAGGGAGAGGGAGAAGCACACTCCCTGTTGAGCTCGGAGCCCAATATGGAGCTCTATCCCGGGACGCTGGGATCATGACCCGAGCTGAAGGCAGACAGACGTTCAACTAACAGCCACCCAGGTACCCCTGAAGGCTTTAGTTATTCCAAAGCAGTAGGTTTATGTTCTTTCCTTTATGTAGATTTATTCCTTTTTTCCTCATATGGAAAGGATACCACAAGGTGTATCTGAGATTCCAAATGTGTGTGTATGTTTAAAAAACATTTATAGGAAAAAAGTTTATAGATTAAGTTTTTCTGATTCACGAGAAACTTGTAATTACCTCTGGGAAGACATAGGTTGTAGGAAGAGACAGACGGACTTTGAACTGTAATATTTTCTGTATGTTGGATTTTTATGGCATACATTTATTTTTTCCTTTATGTAGAAGATAAATTATAACAAAAAGGAACATAAGCTAACAAATTTCTGACGATTTATACACCAGAGATAGGTACACTACATAAGATATGTACACAGATGTTTAAGGAAGCATTTTTTTTAATAATAAAAATTGCAGTCTGAATATCAGGAGAAAAAGTTGAATAAGTTATGATATATCTATATAAACAAAGTTTCTGTTGCCAGCAAGCCACAATTTTTTGTGACTTACTGGCTAGTTTATGTAAAACAACAGAATTAGTTGGAAGTATACAGATATTATTTGCTTCTGGACATTTCCCCCCTATGCATTTGATTTTTACATAGTTGTAATTATATGTGCAATTCAGTATTAAGGTTTTTATTATACAGATTTAGGTACATTTTTTGTCCCCATTGCTAGAGTCTTTAAGCCATATGCACTACGCAGATATTGATAGTAAATTAATAATCTAGACATAAACTATTTCCCTATTGTATGATATTTAGGTTGAATATAATTGGATCACTGTAGTACCTGTCATAATGTGGCTTTAACCAGGGGAAGCAGTGTAGATGGTGAGAAATGGTAGATTCTGATATATTTAGAAGGGAAGGTCAGTAGAATTTGCTGGTGAATTGGGTGTATGATAAAAGAGGAAGTGAAGTCAAAGATGCTACCATCTTTTGGCCTTTGTGGCCGAAAAGATGGAGTTGTCATCAGATGAGATGGGGAGGAATATGGAGGCTGGAAAGTAAATTGCTTTGAGCATGTGGAGTCTGAGATTTCTCTTTGATAGTGACAGTTGAAAGAGTCCGGGGTTAAGGAGAGGTTTTAATGAGAGCTGTAAATTTGGGAGTCTTTTGCATTACAGGTGGTATTTAAAGTCATGAGACTGGATGAGATCACCAAGGATGGGAGTAGGAGTAAGGACTGAGCCCGAGGGCTCCCTAATTTTAAGTCAGAAAAAAGAACAAAAGCAGCCACTGAAGTAAAAAGAGAGCCCCTTCAAATTCAAATGAGAAATTATTTTTCATTGATGTTTTTCACTGAAAAATTAACTCCTATTTTACTCTGACCGTCAAAAATTTGAGGTAATGGATCTACAATCTTCTAATCATTAAGGCAGTTTAGAAATACTCTTTAAAGGTGACTTGGAAATTTTTATATCAATTTGAGAAGAAAATACTTTATCTGTGGGGTTGTATATAATCAGTTTTTTAGAATTGTATTTCCTATGCAAAAAAAAGTATAAAAAATAAAAAACAAATAAAAAATATAGAGGACAGATGATAAATATCCGTTTTCTAGGGCTGCCATAACAAGTTACCACAGGCTGGGTGGCTTAGCAGAAATTTATTCTCTCACAGTTCTAAAAAAGTCAAGAAGGCAGGCTTAAAAATTTTATTTGACAGAGCGGGATGGGGGGAGGGGAGAGAGCCAGAAAGCACAAGGAGGGGGAAATCAAGCAGGGTTGGCCCCTTCTGGAGGCTCTGAGGGGTAACATTTCATACCCTTCTAGTTTCTGGTGGCACCTCAGGGTCCTGAGGCTTGCATTAACTCTCTGCTTCTGTCTTCACAGGGCTTTCTCCTTGTGCCTCTGTTTCAAAATTCCTTCTCTCCTGTAACGACACTAGTCATTGGATATAGGGCCCATCCTAAATCCAGGATGATCTCATCCAAAGGTCCTTACCCCTGTCAAGACTTAAAATGTGATCACATTCACAGGTACAGGAGGTTAGAACCTGGACATACCTTTGCGGGGAAACGCTTAAACCCACCGCATATAATAAAAAGGCTTGCAGGATCAGGAATAAGTTGTTGGCCAATTCCTAAGAAATACAGATAGAAGTTGTTGCTAAGTACTAGTTTTATGGTAAGAGATAAGATGCCATAAAAATAGACTATATGTAAGAATGTAAGCATTGTTCTCAAATTAACTTGGAGACCATATCAATTTCAACCACTCATCTTTATTGATAAAATAGGCTCCTATGCAGTACACTCTCAGACATAAATTTAAGGTTCTGCTATAAAAAAAAAAAAGTATGGATGGAAATCTTGCTATATAACAAAGTAAATGTCTTTAAACACCAAGATCTTAAAATTATATCCAAATAAGACCAATAATAAATTAACTTGTTATAAAAATAATTATCAAGTAACATTTTGTAATAGAGCTGCCTCAATGAATTGCCTCAGATTTAATCTCGACTGTGTAGCTTATTGTCTTTAATTCTAATTTGGGATAAAAACTATATGAATGAATGTGCCACCAAATTAACAGACACTTTCCCCAAAACCAATAGAAAAGTTAAAAAAAAAAAAACTTCATTTATAAAATATCAATTAAGGCTCTGAGAAAAGAAATCTTTTCAGTGTTTGGGCCATAAGCCCTTGTTAGTCAGCCCCACTTACCCCAAACTTAAGGTAGAAAAATTCCAAAGTGAAAAGTAGTTTTGAATTTTACCAACATATGAAATTATACACAAAATTACCATGTGAATATTTATTTAACAAATTACATACCCAAAAAGTAGAATTTTCTATTGTGCTAATTTTAATATAAATGAGTGCATTTAATCACACATGACATTTTTCTTTTATCCTATTTTATTCTATAATCACAAAATAAGAAAAATTTAGATTTCAATTGGTTAAAGTACATTTCTATGTCTAGTGGCTTTTAAAAATTTACATACTGGATATATATTTTGTAAAAAAATCAAACAAATACTTATAAATCCATAGATTTCCACCCCCGCTACCCCCCAGCCCTTTTGACTTGAGAGATTGTAAGAAAAATCTTACAGGTTATGAGGACCAGACAGAGCTTAAGAATAGATCCAAAAAACAAAATTTTAAAAAAAATTTAATTTACTTTCTGTATCTCTTAAGAATACTTTTAAGGAAAGGGTTCAATGAGGCAGAGGAATTCCCAATTTACTTTGAAATTACCACACGTAGCTTGCTATATCAAACATTTCAACTCTGTTAGCTAAAAGAGCTACATAATACCATTAAAGATCAACCAGAGAAGAGAAAAATCTCCATTATTTAGAACCAAAACTTAATCTTTCAAAGGAGTAGTTTAACCTACTAATATGTCTCTTATAAGATCTTCTTTCTTAGAAAGTAATATTCTTTCTCTTTCATTCCTGAAATGATATTTCATGTATGTAAGCAACTTATGGACAACTGTTAGCTACTTTAATTTGGTAAATTAACTAAAATTAAATTACCTCTTGTTTATGGTGCATATGAAACATTCCTACAGCCTTCCTAACTAAATTTTCTTTGACAAAAATTTAAATTTATGGGAAGGTAGACCACACAGTCATTAAAGCTGAAGTCTCATGGTACATAAGCTTATTTGTTAACTCTGACACCAAACAGGGAGGTGAAATAAAATTTAGTATGACGATCTTCCATTCACAAAACTGAGGCAAAACTATGTATTTTAAAATTTGAATAATTTTATGAATTCCCATACCTTTATTGGGAATATTCATGCTTATCCAAGTATCATCCAGAGTGCCACCTATACTGCTGAAAGCTCTGGACAGTTCAGCAGTCACTCAGAAAATCTTTAGTTTGTTCATCAGTTAACAAGAGTTTGTTTTAAATTTTATTTTGGAATAAAGTCTATGACCATTAACTATGCATTTTTTTTTTTTTGGTTGCTATCTCAAGAATGTCATTGCCAGTGCACTGTACATACTATAAAAAAAAAATAAAGCAAGGGTAGCTTGAGACAGATTTTTCTGTTAATTCATTGACTTTAGTAGGCCAGTCCCAGTGACTATTTGGAGCCTTGTAAGAAACTCATGGACTTACAGGCTCTTCAGCTCTTTCTCAGACTCAGGTCACTATTGGTCACTAATGCTGACAAAGATGAACTTTCAGACATATCATCCTTCCTAAGATTCAGAAATGATTCTCGAGTTATTTGAAGAATCTCTCTCAAGCCTTTGTTTTCTTGCTAAAAGAGGACAAAAAGAAAGACATAATTACCAAGACAGCCACAAGAATACAAACATATCTTAAACCAAACCTAAAAGTGTGACAAAGTTCTATAATTGGCAGACATATATTAAATGATATATACAGTTGAAGTTGACAACTTGAATCTAGAGAATACTTTTTATAAAGAAGTAGGAATTGTGCTCAGCGTTTTCCACCAGTACAAAGCCTTATTTATGCAGCTCTAACTGTGGATAGAATCTCAAAAACTGCCTTATTTTACACTCACAGTATAAATGAAGAAATAACATCTAGATTTATATTTATATAAACCCAACAAAGCCTGTGAATAATACCCTGGGACTAGAACCTCTTAGTACTTTAGTACTTTTACTCCTTTCCATGAGAGCATGGAATGTAGGACAAGCCATCTGGTTTGGTTTGTTTTCCCAACTGGAATTTGAAAGTAGCAGGGCTGGCTGAGTGATCATGATGTTTTTCAAGAGAGTGACCCGATCTAGCACTGATAACTTTTTTTTTTTTTTTGATAACTCTTTTCTAGATTAGTTACTATAAGAAATTAGCAGACTTATTTTTTTTTAAGATTCTATTCATTCATTCATTTGAGACACAGAGAAAGAGGCAGAGGGAGAAGCAGGCTCCCTGTGGTGAGCCTGATGTGGGACTCAAAATCCTGGGATCCCAGGATCATGACTTCACCTGAAGGTACATTGCTTAACCACTGAGCTACCCAGGCATCCCAAAATTAGCAGGTATTTATTTATTTATTTTTAAATATTTATTTATGATAGTCAGAGAGAGAGAGAGAGAGAGAGAGAGAGAGAGGCAGAGAGAGAGAGAGGCAGAGACACAGGCAGAGGGAGAACCAGGCTCCATGCACCGGGAGCCCGACGTAGGATTTGATCCCGGGTTTCCAGGATCGCGCCCTGGGCCAAAGGCAGGCACCAAACCGCTGCGCCACCCAAGATCCCAATTAGCAGGTATTTAAAAATAACTTTTATAATTCTTAACCACTTTGTCTTCAGGCTTACTTTCTGTTTCAATGGTACAAAATAGGGAATCAGCAAACTACATTCAGCCTGGCTTGAGACCTGTTGTTTGTAAATTAAACTTTACAGGAACATAGGTAAGCTCAATCTTTTTTGTGTGTATGGCTGCTTTTGTATTACAGTGGCATAGGTGAGTAGTTGCAACAGGGAATGACTGGCTTGCAAAGCCTAAAATATTTTCTATCTGGTCCTTTACTGAAAAAGTTTGCTTACCCTTAAAGAATGCTTAGAAACAGAAATTTATTTTGGCCCTTATAACCAATATCTCCACCATGACTTCAAAATGAAGCTTTTAAAGTATGAAAGTTTATTCCACTAATTTAAATTGTTCAACAATGATTTATGCTTTTGCTATCACAAAATAAAGGACAAGAAGGTTTTTATACATTCCCCAGAAAAATACAAGTGCCCAGAGAATATTTGTGGACTTAAAAAAATTTTCCCTGCATCATAATGATCTCCAACAGAATGAAGAAATTTTTAAAATTACTAAATTAAAAATTATATTTGCCCAGTAACAGGAGCAGCATAAGATCAAAACATCAATTTTCTCGAATATTGCTCTAAGTTACTACTCATTCTGAACTTTTTTTTTTTGTTCTTTTTTTTTATTATTATTTATGATAGTCATACAGAGAGAGAGAGAGAGAGGCAGAGACATAGGCAGAGGGAGAAGCAGGCTCCATGCACCGGGAGCCTGACGTGGGATTTGATCCCGGGTCTCCAGGATCGCGCCCTGGGCCAAAGGCAGGCGCCAAACTGCTGCGCCACCCAGGGATCCCACATTCTGAACTTTTGTATTACACTATGTAAATGGTCTTGCATTACATACCCATATAACCAGTATCCAGGTTAAGAAAGAGAACATTACCAGTTTTCCAGAGAAGCATATACATATATTTTTAAATGAGGTATATTTTCTGCTATCAATCTTTGTATGGACAGTTTTTACCCACATTTGCAATTTAAAACTTACTTCCAGTTGAAATATTCGTTCCTGTTCCTTGCAACCCTGTTGCTCATCAATTTCAATGGCTTTCCTCATTACTGCTGCCATTTCTGTTATTTGATCAACATGTGCTTGTAATTCCTGAAAAAAAGAGATAGGAGTTGCAAATCAGTGAAATACTTTATTTTTGGATTCTCTCCTTAAAAAAAAAAATTTGCATTGCCACTTAATATGAATGTAATATTCTTACATTGCCATTTAACGTGAAGGTACTATATCAAACATATTTACAAGAAAGTTCACTGACCATCAATGTGCTTTTGAAATCAGATTTCTGCTAGGGCTACAAGTAAAGATAAGCAGCACAATATAAACCCACTAGCTCTATTTTTCACATTCTTTTCACCACAAATGATCAACAGTTTTTTTAATACCTACATATACTACAAAGTAACGGGAAAGACAAAATTGACAGTCTCTTTACCCCTAATGTCCTCATGATTTACAAATCTTTTCTATATTATCCATGTCTAAAAATTAATCTCAATCCAACCTAGACATTTTTCCAGATTATAATCCTTCTTGAGAGTAGGAACTGTATCTTGTTTATATTTGCCTGTGTCTGGTGTATAATGTATAATAAACATTGAATAAAATGAACAGAAGTCTGCTTTTGAACATTAAAATATTTTTTTAAAGAAGATTTTATTTATTAATGAGAGACACAGAGAGAGGGAGAGAGAGAGGCAGAGACACAGGCAGAGGGAGAAGCAGGTTCCATGCAGGGAGCTTGGATGTGGGACTGGATCCTGGGTCTCCAGGATTATGCCCTGGGGCTCAAGGTGGCGCTAAACCGCCGAGCCACCCAGGGATCCCCTGAGCATTTAAATATTAAATGGCCTTTACAAACTGTTCAAAATATTTAAGTATAAAATAGCCACATGTATTGGTGCAGCAGGGAGCATAAATTTCTTCCAATCTCATGCCATTATTTTTTTCCACACCTAGGATATTCCAGGCACTATGCTAGGCAATAGGAATATGAAACCTATCAAGACACATTCCCTGATTTCAAGGAGCTTTTAGAGTCAAGTGAAAGACACGAAGTTTAAGAATCAACAGAAATTTGAGAATAATCATTTTTTTCAATGAACAGTTTCTCTAGACCATTGTTCACTGGAAGTTGAGGGTGACTTTATTATATTGAGGTCAAAATTTAAATGTAAAAGCTAAAAACTTCCCTAATAACCTTGTCTCTTAAATAATTGTATATATCCTATTTGTAAAAAGGATTTGAAGAGAACCTGCAAAACCTACAAAACTAGTGAACTGTGGAAGAAATATGGAGAACAAACAGTATCTTTGGCTTACCGCACATTTAGTACTTTCTAACCAACAAAAATGCAGGTCATATTATTTTGATGGGGACACCTATACAATGCTAATGTATATGCAAAAAGAAGGCAAAATAAAAGGACTAATCTACACTATCCAACATGATGCTATATAAATATTAGTTAAAATTAAACATCTTTTAAAAAATTAAAATTTCAGTTCCTGAGTTGTACTAGCGACACTTCCATGTGCTCAACGGCTTCATGGGGCATCATGGCTTCCATGATGAATAGCACATATGAAGAACATATCTATCATTTCAGAGAGTGCTATTAGGCAGTTCTGGATTAGATTATGGTAGTAAGAATAGTATCAAGACAAACATCCATCTGTCATAATCCGAAATAGTTTTTTAAAAATGATTAAAATCTCTCCCTCTGGGAAGGGAGCAGAATTTTTTTTTTCAGATTTTATTTATTTATTCATGAAAGAGAGAGAGAGAGAGAGAGAGAGAGAGAGAGAGGCAGAGACACAGGCAGAGGGAGAAGCAGGCTCCACGCAGGGAGCCTGACATGGGACTCGATCCCAGGTCTCCAGGATCATGCCCTGGGCTGAAAGCAGGCGCTAAACCGCTGAGCCACCCAGGGATTCCCGGGAGCAGAATGTTTAAAAGCAAGTTAAGTACCGGTAACTGCAGCAGCAGATTAAGGGTATGAGAAAAAATTCTGAATACCAACACTTTCTTTAGCTTATCATTTTAGTATCTTTTTAGGGTAAAAGACTGTACAGGAAGCAAATCATTCTTTGCTTTTAAAATGGAAGAAAATGACATTCTACTCATTTTTTTAATAGTATTTTGGGATCCCTGGGTGGCGCAGCGGTTTGGCGCCTGCCTTTGGCTCAGGGCGCGATCCTGGAGACCCGGGATCGAATCCCACGTCGGGCTCCCGGTGCATGGAGCCTGCTTTTCCCTCTGCCTATGTCTCTGCCCCTCTCTCTCTCTCATTCTGTGTGACTATCATAAATAAATAAAAAATTAAAAAAAAAAAAAGTATTTTTATAGGCCCAGTTCAATGGTTCATTTATTACAATAAAATCCTTAGGGAAATCTCATAGGTCTTTTAATGAACATAAGAGGCCAAGACCTATGCTTTCAAAACTGTCTGAAAGGCAAGAAGTGTCAGTAACATATTCTTTGGACTATCAGTAATATAATTCTTGAACTTTCTTGAAATGCCTTTCATTTGTAACTTTTGTTTAGGGTTATTTCAACTTGCTCAATAGTGATCTGCCACACACACACATATACACACAAAAAGACAATATAGCATATACTACTAACACATACATGTAACACCTAAACAAAGGCATTTTTAGGTTATTGTGAACTCAAACTAAAGGACTACAAACGATCAAAAACTGAATTAAAATTGTTCCTTTAATAGTTCAAACAAAATTTTTATGAAATCAGATTAAAATGACTTCCAAGAAAACACCTCTGACGTCCACAAAGAGGAAAACTGTTTATAAAATTTTGCAGCAACAAAATGAAAAGCTGGCTTAACCAATCTTTAAAGCTTGCAATTATCTAACAGGCTGTATATGATATAATACACAGAATTAATGACAGATTAAAGTTTCAATGCTGAATATTTTTGCATGGCTATCAAAAGCACAGTATTTTTAAAAGCAATTTCATTTATTTGCTGATTTAAACTGGCAGGAAAATTCAATGTCAAAGAAGGTTTTAAATGGACCTCCCCCCTTCCATCCACACCCCAAAAATTGACTGTTTTATTTAGTGTACATTCTGATTTGCTTCCAAGTGCCTCCTCTCCAGTCCATGTTGAGATGCTTCAAAGATGTGTCGAGATGCATCAAGGAAGAATCCTTCGGAGCTGTTACGATGTACCATGTCAATCTGTAGTATAGAGTCATTATAATGTTAATACGGATATTATCCGTAATTTAAAAACTGAATGAGTGTTAGTTCATGCGTGTTAGCCAACTGTTTGAAATGTTTGTTTTTTTAAGATTTCCAAAAAGGCAGCTGTTCAAAAATAATGTAAAAATGAGTATTTGGACAAAAATGAATTCTTCTCAAACTTTATGTTGATTTTTGAATCTGTGCTCAAAACTTCTAAGTGAGGGTGAAATTCTGTACTACAGTGGTCTCAGAGGATCTCTTATGCCAAAATGCTGTTATGTGTAACCCTGCTTGTTACTCTTAAATGTGTTATAAAATTTTTTGTGTGTTTAGGGTCATCAGAGCATCAATACCTAAACACATGCTGGAATCTCATATTTTTACACCTTTATAATACAAGTTTCTCTGCTCATCCACTTCTGCTTGTTGACCTTCCTCTCCCAGTAATTAATTCAAGGCTAGATTTAGATAGATTTTTCTTTCTTGACACCTTCCCAGATTCTCAAGAGACCTAACCTTACTTCCATTAGTATTCCCATATTAAATCATATCTCTATTTTAGGATTCATCCTACCTTATATATTATGTTTGTATCTATCTCCCTTTACACTGTAAATTACTATGGCAGACTAATGGAACTTATTTATTTCATCTTATTATTAATAATAACTAAGCCAGTGCAAATGTTAATAATGTTTGAGTTGAAGTGTCTCCTTTTTGGGAAAAATCAAAATCACAAACATTAATATGTATTAGTTGGAATTAACAAGAATTGAACAGTCATTTTATGGAAGGATCAGCACTTAGATGAAGTCAATCTATATAATAAAGGATGGTTTACAGCTATCTTAAGAAATGTTTAACTTTGCTAATAATAAAACTGCTCTAATGACTGGTAAAATCTATCGTGTTCTAGAAAATATTTGCTTCTGGCATAGCTACTACCAGATGGAACTAGCAACCTGCAGTATCTTATACTAAACATTTTTTGGTAGAGAAATCTCTTTAGATCTCAAGAAATTTGTTTCTTTTTTAAACAGAAGGGCTTTTTGGATTTTCTCAAGATTGTATTTATTTAACCAATAATTTAAGTCAATTCATCTTTGTATCTTTAAAAGAAACACTATACATTTAAATTTATGTTTTTATAATGATCTCATTAACAATAGATAAATTTGTATTCAAAAGATTGCCACTTAAACATCCAACGTTATTCCTTTTGGTTAGAAGATGAATAGTATAATTAGATAACATTAAACCGTTAGTTATTAATTATTCAACTGATACAAAAGGTATCTATTACTAACTTTCTTAATATGCAAAGTTGTAACACAAAGATCTATTTACTAGGTATTTAATTTTAATAGAAATAATTAATAATTTAAAAGTACCTATAAGCACCACGATGGAAGAATTAAAGACTCTAAAATGTGTTTCAATAATTGAGAAAGCTAAAACAAGTCTTAAAACAATGATTTCTTAAATAATATTAGTTATAATAGTTAGCTCACCATTATCCAATACAGGTAATAGTTAGAAATCACAATATACTAATATTTTTATTTCACACCAGCAGTTAAAATTCAGCTTAAAATGTAAATAGAAAAGGATTATTCTACTTGTCTTCATAGCAGTTTCTAATGAACACAGAGACATACACAAAGGAAACAGACACAGGGATGTCAATAAGTAAATGAACAAAGGGAAAAACACTAATTTCTAACCAGTTCAGCTCTGTCTCTAAAAATGATGTTAAGTGATACATGACTGGGGGAGGAGGGGTCCAAAATCTTAATATGTTAGTTCTTTTCCTCCCCACTGGCCCCACCCATGTTTTTTCCATCATAATCAGTATTGTTCACAGTCTGGATTAATTAGCTTCATTCAGAAAACAGTCTTAAGGAAAACAAATCTACCTTGAGCTGGTTTCAAATTTCTGAAAATGTTTTCAGCATTGCAGTTTTTGTTTTTGCAACAAACGGCAACACACAAATTAGAATATTTCTTCAAAGCAGATTACCTTATAAAATAATTTTGAATTGAATACACTTACCTGTACTTCCCAAATAAAATTTACTTTTGAAAATATGTTAAAGAACTAGGGAACAACAGGAGTTAGGAGAGTAAATCAAACAAAATATGTAGCAAGAAATGACAAAAATAAGGAAAGGCAGAAAACGTCAGAAAGATGAATATTCAATATCATGTTAGATACCTGTGATTTAAAAAAAAAGTCTCAACACAAGTTAATCAACTATGATTCTTTTTCATTTCAAATTATATTTATAAAATGAACTACCTTGGAGTGCTGCTCTTTTAACTTCGTTATTATACCCGGATCGTCTTTTTTGCTAGCCATTAGAAGTCTAAACATTTGTTCTCGATACTTGCTCATTATCAGTTCCAAGGCAGACTGATGTTCTTCCAGGGATGTACGCAATTCTATCAGGAATTAACAAGAAAAAATAGTCTATTTTACTCAAACTTGAGTTAAAGATCTACAAAATATTCTCTTCCCCACTATATTTACCAGAAAAACAACATAAAAGAGGGTGTTTTGAATAGAAAACATCTAAGAACCTTGCCATAAAGAAATAAAGCACACCAAATAGAGTCCTTTATTAGCTTTTTTTTTTTTTAAAAGGGCTCTCAATTAGGTTTTTTATTTTTTATTTATTTATGATAGTCACACAGAGAGAGAGGCAGAGACACAGGCAGAAGCAGGCTCCATGCACCAGGAGCCCGACGTGGGACTCGATCCCGGGTCTCCAGGATCGCGCCCCGGGCCAAAGGCAGGCGCCAAACCGCTGCGCCACCCAGGGATCCCCCTTTATTAGCTTTTTAAATGACCATTTAAAGCTCATTTTTAAAGAATTATTTCAACAAACATTTACTGAATAGCAATTAAGTATGAGATAACGCTCTACCTTAGGAATACCCAAAAGGCCATGGAGCTCAGTCTAGAAGAGAAAGCAAATACATATAATTCTAATACAACGTGTAAAGTCCAGATCAGAACTCTGATATATATATATATATATATATATATATATATATATATATATATATGTAATCAGTGAGGAGAAATTGGTGAAAGTTTCACATTATTGAGATGAACTTGCATTCCTTGAGTTGAAAAAGGAAAAGGCGTTCTACACAGGGAGGCATGAAAGCAGATGGTGGGTTCAGAACTGGTTCAGGACAGCAAGAAGGTTTCATGGAGAAGAGAAGGATGAGAAGGAGACAGAAGGCTTGGAGTTGATTTTGAAAGCTTCTGGATATGGAAATAAGTATACAATGAAGGTTCTAAAGCAAAAGAATAACATGATCAGAGAGATCTTTGAAAAATGAATCGGATGCCTGTGTTGGGAGACAGACTAGAGGGGGAAAAGAAACTGGAATCACTGAGGCCAATTAGGGTAGTTCTGGCAACAGACCATGAACATCTAAGCAAGGGACTAAAGCAGTTGTTCTGTAGAGAACAAAGTGAGTTACTTCATAGGTAATAACGGCATAAACTGGATATTGAGAGTGGGAATCTAAGATGACTCCAAGTAAGGTAGACATTCATATGTAGGAAAGGATAAAGACTACTACATATGATTTGGGCATTTGGACCAGAAATGAGAATATCAAAAAGGAAATTTAGTTGCCCATTTCCCTGTTTTTAAAAATATTAATTGATCCCAAGAGTCCAACTGTATATTATAGCTCTTTCAACCAAGTTTAATTTTTTCCCTTTTTTTGTATATATTTTTATTGGAGTTTGATTTGCCAGCATACAGTATAACACCCAGGCTCATCCCATCAAGTGCTCCCCTCAGTGCCCATCATCCAGTCACCCCTTCCCCCCCTGCCTACCTTCCTTTCCACTACCCTTTGTTTTCCAGAGTTAGAAGTCTCTCATGTTCTGTCTCCCTCTCTGATATTTCCGACTCATTTTCTCTCCTTTCCCCTTTATTCCCTTTCACTATTTTTATATTCCCCAAATGAATGAGACCATATAATGTTTGTCCTTCTCTGACTGACTTACTTCACTCAGCATAATACCCTCCAGTTCTATCCACGTTGAAGCAAATGGTCAACCAAGTTTAATTTTAACTAAAATCCAATGAACTATGCCTTCCCAAAGAGTATATTTTATGGTATGTGAATTATATCTCAATAGTAATAAAAGAGTATGTGCAAAAGAAATGAAAAAATTTTTTAAATAAATGTGAATCTAACTTTAAAGCCTACTCTTTTATTCTCAAGGCATTTTGCTGAGTCACTTAGTAACATAATTCATTATAACATTACTGGTTTTTAGCTTTATTTGTCAAACTCCTTTGTTTTTTATAATTATATGTTCTTAATAATCTTAAAATTAGATATCTTACCTTTATTCTCTTTTATTTTTTAAAGATTTTATTTATTTATTAAAGAGAGAGAGAGAGAAGGGGAGTGGCAGGCAGAGAGAGAGGGAGAAGCAGGCTCCCCAATGAGCAGAGAGCCCAATGTGGGGCTCCATCCCAGGACCCTGAGACCTAAGCCAAAGGCAGCTGCTTAACCGACTGAGCCACCTCAGGATCCCACCTTTGTTCTCTTGTTGCAGTTCTCTGATTTGTCTGTTTTCTTGCTGGATTCCCATAACTAATGTGGACCGTGGCCGATGCCTTGCAACTTCATTAAGTTCTTGAATTTCCTCCTGATACTAATGAAAGGATCAAAAAAGAACATGTTGGAAGAAAATATTTGAAAATATATATCTCAATATATATATATGGGCCTAATCCAGAATATATAAAGAATTCTTACAACTCTCAATAATAATAATAATTTAATGATGTATTAAAAATGGGCAAACGATGAGTAAGTTCTGGGGAATCTAATGTATAGCAGGATGACTGTAATTCTACCCCCACGTATATACCCAAGATAACTGAAAATATAGGTCTACACAGAAATTTGTACACAAATATTCACAGCAGTATTATTCATAACAGCCCCCAAATAGAAATAATCCAAATGTCCCATCAACTGATGAATGGATAGACACAACGCACTATATCCTTATGATGGAATATTATTCAGCAATAAAAAGGAATAAAAAACTTAAAACATGCTATAATATGGATGAACCTCAAGAACATTACATTTAAAAAAGTTACAAAAAGCCACATATTGTATGATTCCATTCACATGAAATATCCCAAAGAGACAAATCTATAGAGATAGAAAGATTAGTTGCCAGGGGCTGAGGGAAGGGAGAGCTAGGGAATACCTAGCTTGCTAATGGAGGTAAGCTTCTGGGGTGAGGAGAATGTTCTGGAATTAGATAGTGATTATGGTTGCGCAACCTATGAATGTACTAAAATCCAATGAACTATGCCCTTTAGGAGGGTAAACTTTATGGGTATTGTGAATTATATCTCAATAACAATAGCAAAAGAACATGTAAAAAAGAAATAAAAAACCTAGAAATAAATGTGAATCTAACTTTAAAATTGTACTCCTTCATTTTCAAGGCATTTTGATGTGCTGCTTAGTAATGTATTCATTATAACATTTCTGGTTCTTTAGTTGTCAAACTCCTTTGTTTTTATGACTCAGTACCAGATATTAGTTCCTTGGAATGCATGAGTCAAGCTGGACAGTTAGGGAGATATGTAATCTGTTTAAGGCAACAAAACAAGTAAATTTGCTCTATTACTTCCAATAGCTTTGTTAAAAGCGGTATTCCAGGGTTGCTTCCTTTTACAAAATGGATGAGTTTCACAAAAGTAGGCTATGAATATCCATTTCCCCCTAAATGATTTCCATCATAAGGAGAGACTGTATAATTATCTTAAAGTTGAAAATTTTTATCATAAGTAGGCTTAAAATGGTACCTTAACCCCGTGGACCACTGGAAAATTCTTATATACAATTCTTATATAAGAAACTTCCTATATACGTTATAAGGATAATAACTGAAACCCTTTTCAATTTTTCTTTAATTGGTAGCACTAAATGGAAATTAAGGTAGGAAGTACAAATTCAACAACTGCATAATATATAAACCAGATATCGCCTTATGCCATTTTCGAAAATTCTGTTGTTAAATAACATCACCTAAGTACTTTTACAAAGAAAAATATAAACATTTCTACATTATAAAAATAAGAGAGCAAGATATATCACTATTAGTGAAAGATATTATTGGTCTATAATATATCAGAACCTAATATATTTTCTAAACTCCAATGTGCAACTCTGCCAGAAAAACAAGTAATCAAATATATGGTTTTTAGAATATACAGATATATATATATATCTGTATCACCTGGACATGACAAAATTATATGATAATCTAAAATAAAATTAAAATATACAAATCAAGCTACTTTTAAATTTTATAAAACATTAAAAAAACAGTATTAAGCAGAAATTTATGATTCAAGCAATACATAAATATCTGACTGCTTTTTTCAAAGTGGAATCAACAAGAAAGAAAAGAAATCAAACCTGCTTCATCGCTTCTACTCGCTTATTGAGAGCTGTGGTTTGCTCAATCAGAGATTCTGCTGCATCGTCATGATCTCTCAATCTTTCAACAAGAGCTTTAGCATCAGCAAGTGCCTTCTCAATTGTGCAACTCATTTCTAAAGGAATACCTATAAAATTAAAATCAAAACTCAAAACAAAGCCAGCTTATCATCTTATTATTTTAGTTTCATGTTAACATCGATATGCTTCTTAAACTACATTTATTACAGGACTGTTCACTGGGGAGAGAAAACATGTAAGAACACTTGTGGTTTTGCTTCTGTTCGGAGGGCACAAGCTTAAAAGTAAATTTATAATATTAAAAAATTAGAGCATATATAAATGATTTGCAGACGTAATGTGCGTGTATTTAAAACACTGAATTTATAGTGGGGGAAAAAAGTACAAATCAAGTAAATACATTTTATATTATATAGAAATTGTGTTCTTCATGAGATCATTCCCTTCTCCTGATATTTGTGAAAAAGATCACTTTATTAGTCCATACTCTGTGGTCCATGATTGTCAGTCGCTAGCTATGAGATCCTTTCTAGCCTTTGCTTGGTTAAGTGACCTGAGACACCAACCATTCACAACTCACACTTATTGACCAGCTAAAGTCCTCTCTATGTGTCATACTATGTCAGAGTGTCCTTCTTTTGAAGGAACTACTTTAAAAAAAAAATGTTTTTAAGATTTCACTTATTTGAAAAAGGGAAAGAGGGAGAAAAAACACATGCGTAAGAACATAAGCAGCGGGGGGGGGGGGGGCAGAGGGAGAAACAGACTCCCTGCTGAGCAGGGAAACCCATACAGAATTCCATCCCAGGACCCAGGAGTCATGACCTGAGCAGAAGGCAGATGTTTAACTGACTGAGCCAGTCAGGCATCCTGACTGGAGGAAATACTTTTTTTTTTTTAAAGATTTTACCAAAAAGTAAAAATAAATAAATAAATATTTTATTTATTTATTTATTCATGAGAGACACAGAGAGAGAGAGGCAGAGACACAGGCAGAGGGAGAAGCAGGCTCCATGCAGGGAGCCCGCCCGCATGGGACTCCAGGATCATGCCCTGAGCCAAAGGCAGGCTTGCTCAACCACTGAGCCACCCAGGCATCGCTGGAGGAAATACTTCATATATGAAGTATTATAATCCTAAATCTTGTGCTTTCCTTATTAAGTGGTTAAAAATATATATGACTTAGAACACCAGCCATACGGTAAATTGATATGTTAAAAATCAATAAATAATGTGTTTAAGAAGAGCTCAAAAAATTAGGAGACAAAATACGAAACACTCAACAGTTAGCTTCTTCATTTAGTACTGAGACCTCAAAACAAAATCTTAATTTTAAAATAATCTCTTTCAAAGACTTTAATCTTCTGAAAATTAATCTTTGGATTTTTCTCATTGTAAGGTAAGTTTTACCTTACCTTTTATATGAGCCATCCTTTCTTCAGGGTTTTCTCTAAAAGTAAAATCACACTGTAAATTTACTAGGCCAGAAGCCAGGTCTATAGAAGTTAAATTAAAACTCTGGTATGGAACCAAGCTAAGGGCTATAATTAAGAATTTCATCAACTTTAGGAAGACAGAAATTTGTTACAGAATGCAAGACTGTTAAATTCTACTGTATTAGTTCAAACCTGAATAAGAGGATTTAATCAGAATAAATTACAATGTAAAACTGCCAATTCAGAAAAATATTCAATATGACATTTCCAGGGAGCTTTAAAAATTAAATAAGCTGGAAATTAATATAATTTTTGGCTCTCCAGATAAAATAATCAAAAGATTGATCTCCTAAGATCTGAGAGATTTAGAAAAAGGTACTTGAAAAAACAAAAAGCAAAAGGGTCATTAAAGTTACAGATGTCAAAAAAAAAAAAAGTTACAACTGTCTCATACTGGCTAAAACACAAAGGACAACTATCCAGTATCTGTCCAAGATGCTGCTCCAAGGAAGACATTAGCATCCAACAATGCCCTGTCCTTTCTCTAAACTTCCAAGGAGAATTACCTAAACTTATACATGGATAATAATACAGATTTCTTATTCATATGGGAGCCACCATATCTCCCATTAACCAACCCCACTACTATGAAACATGAGATCTTTCAGAGTAAAATTCTGAAGTTATTTACACCCCCTCACCAAAAAGAAACAAAATCAAAGAAACAAAACTGGGAGAGAGAGGAGGGAGCAAATTGACTTGTAATGAGTGAGAAAAAAAAAAAGACTATTTGTCTTACAGTAAAGAAGATGGGTTCTAACAGATGGTCAAAGGAAATAATAAAATAAAAAAACAAATTTTAGAAAAAGCCTAGAGAAAACTGGAAAAGACTTTAGAGACAGTTTATCTCGGCTTAATAAGAACAACTCAAGTACTAAGAACTTCTAACAATCCTAGGTCCTAACCTGTAATTAATATTATTGGGACCTCTATCTAAAGAATACTTCTTTATGCTGTGTAATACAACATCTACAAATATAATAAACATTATTTTTTTTTCAAAGAGAATGTACTAAGGCTCCTACATACAATTAGATGATAGGTGATATACACATGAAAAAAAAACTATATGGTGTAAAATTCAGTAAATTGCCTCCCTCTCAACCACCCCCCACCCCCACAAGGGGAAAAGAAAAACAACAAAACAAAACAAAAAAACAACTAAGCTCCTAGATTCCTCTGGATAAAAGAATCCACAGAGACTGACAGATTAACTGGAAGAGTCCTAGGAATCTAGATGGACTCTTCCTAGGGAATCATAAATGTTTCTTTTTAAAATATGAAAAAGTTATACTGTGTTCTGGGGATATTATTTCATAACATGGTACCAAAGCACCATTGCCTATTAAATCCTATGCCTTAATTGAATAGCTAAGACATCCTTTTTCCCTCAGAGCAATTATAGGCCTCAACTACATTGGTCAAAGCACCTTCCAAACTTGTACTAGGTCTTTAAACCTGATGTCATGTTGCAACCACTCCATATTTTCTACTAGTCGAATTATTATGAAATGCTGTTACTTTCTCCTTTTCATATTACTATCCACTAGTGACACACTTACTCCAACACCAACCTACAGAAAGAAAATTTCATGATTGTGTTTCCATAAATCATGAGGTGTCCAAGCTCAAAACAAAACTGAATTCTCTAGGACCTAATCTTGACTTTACTGCTTATTAATAGGTTTTATATTAAACACAAAAAGTGACAATACCAGGCTTGACATACAGTAAATACTTCAGTCACTCTTATAAAATTCAATTTCTTATTGGAAGCCAAATTGATCAAATGACTTAAGTGGAGCTGTCTATGACAGAATAACTTGCTTTAAAAAAAAAAAAGTAAGTTTATACTAATAGCTGGATCATTTTTGGAATGATTCACTTTTTTGAAATACTGCAAAGGAAAAGAAGTTCCTCAGATATCCCTTAATAAACAATGAGTACATTAACTATTTGATGGTTTGAGGCTACCTAAAATAACAGACATACAATAAAAAAAAACATATGAGCTAGTATGCTATGTATGTACTAGTATATAATTATGTAACCATCTTATACTATAAACAGATTTGACTCCAAGTCCTAATGAAAGGGCCTCATATAAAACAATAAAATCATAACAGATCTACAGAGAAGTTCAAAGATTCCATCATGGACACCCAAAATGTGGCCTGACCAGCATAACCAATAATTTGGGCAAAGAAGCAGCAATTTGAAAAGTGCCTGGGGTATATAGGCAGGAGATATATTTTCTAATTTCAGAACATATGCTGGAGGAGCAGGGATATTCGGGAGATTTCTCCAAGAAAAAAGTGACAGTGGGGGCCATTTCTCTTCCCCTCCCCTAGCCTAGAAAGCCAGACACCTGTAGGCACTAGTGCTAATACTCTCCACCTTTGCTGGTACTGCATGCCCTGCCCCCACACTCCCCTGCCATCTGCTTGTTCCAACCCACCCACCTTGGTAGGCATCCCTCTGAAGAGGCTCCTGCAAGCAGCGCTGGCAGACAATGGTGCCATTCCAGAAACTCCTGCCCTGGGAAGGGGGTGGATAATCCTACATACCAGCTTGCCCACAGTTTCAGGAGCCAAGTCTTTTAGCAGACTGTACAGGAAGAATGCTTTGCCATATGGTGCAGCTGCAGCCAGAGGCTACCAATAGAGAGGCTAATTGCAGACAGACAGCGTGACTGCTGACCCTGCCCACCTCTCGGCCAACTGCATTCTCACCCTGGCTCTCAACAACTCAGGGACTAAACCCTGCCCAGTGCTCCCACAATAGGCAAAGCAGGTTACTGCAGCCAACTACGCTAACAGCCATGAGAAAACATGGCTCAGCCACGACAGGAGGGCACATATAGCCCACACAGGGGATACTGCTGTAATATCTGATTCTGGTGACCAGAGGACATTGTGCTATAGGGCACCACAGGAGCTCTTCTCTATAAAGTTACTATATTCAAGACAAGGAGTTGTGGCTGACTGTCATAATACACAAAAACAATCACAGAGAATTAGACAAAATGAAGAGATGGAGAAATATGTCTCAGATAAAAGAACAGGACAAAAATCCCAGCAAAAGAGCTAAATGAAACTAAGGCAATATATGCCTGATAAAGAATTCAAAGTAATGGTCATGAAGATACTCAGTGAACTTGAGAAAAGACTGAATGAACTCATGAGAACTTCAACAAAGAGAAAATATAAAATAGAACCAGCAAGAAATGAAGAACTCAACAACTGAAACAAAAACCACACTAGAAGGAATTAACAGATTAGGGGAGGCAGAAGAAGGGTCAGCAATCTGAAGATGGGGTAACAGAAAGCAACCAAGCTGAACATTAAAAAGAAAAAAGAACTGAAGATGAGATTAGAGTAAGAGAATTCAGCAACATCAAGCATAATAACCTCTCCAACAGAGATCCCAGAAGGAGAAAAGAAAAAGGGAGAGAAAATCTATTTGAAGAACTAATAGCTGAACACTTCCCTAACCTGGGAAAGGAAACAGACATGGGGATCCTCCAGGATCTAGGAAGCACCAAGAGGCCCCAACAAGATTAGCTCAAGGAGGTATACACGAAAACACATAATGATTAAAATGGCTAAAAG